GCTGTGGAGAGAAAGGTCTTTGTAAACAGCACAATGATCCGAATTTTTTTTCAAGATTGATTTATTTATGCATAGAAGAGCTCGGGTGCAGGCCAGAGGTGCCGGGAGGTGAGAGAATTCACCAGAGACAGAGTGGGGAGCAGAACAGGCGATCTACTGAAATACACAGCTGAGGGGAGCAGGGGACGAGACAGGATAGGTCCGCTGTGCCATGTGGGTCACCTCCCTTTCCGGCCAGGGAAGCAAACTCGTGTTACAGTGGCTGGCGATAACTTATAATACTGTCTTTATTTTTTTTTAAAGATTTATTTATTTATGCATACAAGAACTGGGTACAGACCAGAGGTATGAAGGGTGAGAGGATTCACCAGACAGAGTGGGGAACAGAACAGGCAGATGTACTGAAATACGTTGCTGAGGGGAGCAGCGGGCGAGTCAGGAGGGTTGCTCCCTGGCCAGCAGGGGATGGAACTTGTACTGCAGAAGCTGTGGAGAGCCTCACAGTTTGTGTCTTAACCCCTTGCTCCACCAGGGAGGCCCTCTAATGCTTTATTTAACCCCTGTGCCACCAGGGAGGCCCAGCTTCTCCATTTTTAAGGAGAGGCTGGTGAGGAATACCAGTGCTGAAAATCTTCCTTCCTGAGGTCCTTAGCCTTTTTCGTATTGTACCTTCCCCCTTCCTCCCTGTGGATGTCATGATTTTGAAGTTTTTGCCTACTAAACTATTTTATTTAGGTACTAAATATTTAGGTACTACTTTACTTTTTTTTTCCTTTTATAAGGTTTATTTTATTTATACAAGCACTGGGTACAGTCAGAAGCGCGGGAGGGTGAGAGAATTCACCAGAGCCAGAGCGGGGAACAGAATAGGCAGACTGACAAAATACACTGCTGAGGGGAGCAGCGGGCGTGTCAAGAGAGGTCTGCACGCCATGTGGGACCCTTGCTGACAGTCGGGGATCGAACCGGCGCTGCAGAGGCTGTGGGCAGCTTTGCAGCCCAGCGCTCAACCGCTGCGCCACTAGGGGAGGCCCCTAATTTACTTTTTAATCAGAGACTCAATTAAGCGTGCATCGATAAAGAAATAATACAATTTGTCAAACTAAGAAATCATAGTACCTATTCTTTTCAGATTTGTGAAAAATTGAAATAATCTGCAGGCCTTCAACATACATTATCCTGGGGCCTCCTGCATGGGCTCCCAATGGCTGTAGGTTGGGAGCCACTCACCCAAGTATTGGGTGACATTGCTATATCCTGGGTCTTATTTTATTATTATTATTAAATTAATGACTTTATTGAGGTAACATTACTTCACAACACTGCTTAAGTCCAAGTGTACACTTCTTAGCTCAGCACCCTTATATACCACTCCCCAGTCACCACCCATAGCCAGTCACCATCCACTACAAATAGCATCCCCTTATACCTGCACTCCATGGCCCCATGCTTCTCTGGTACCTACTGCCCTGTTGTCAAAGTGTATATGTTATTTTTGCTCTGTTGCTCATTTAAAAAAATATTAATTTTATTTATTTATGCATACAAGAGCTGGGGTGTAGGTCAGAGGTGCCAGGGGTAAGAGGATTCACCAGAGACTGAGTAGGGAACAGAACAGGCGGATCTATGGAAATACACTGCTGAGGGGAGCAGCGGGGGAGACAGGAGAGGTCTACTGCACCATGTGGATTAGCTCCCTGGCCTGGGATCGAACTCAGGCTATAGTAGCTGATGATACCTTGATAGTGCTGAGACTTTACCCCCTGTAACACCAGGGAGGTCCTGTTGTTCATTTAAAAAAAATTTATATTCCACAAATGAATGAAATCAATATGGTATTTGTCTTTTTCCTTGTTCATTCTTACTTATTTTTGTTTAGCATAATCCCTTCTATGTCCATCTAATAGCAAGATTTCATCTTTTTTATGGCTGAGTAATATTCCATCCCATAAACTTTCTTTATCCATTCATCTACTGGGTTGTTTCCACCCTGAGGTCTCCTGATTGCTACTAGGACCTACACTTCCAAGTTCACATTTTTGTGGAAGGCAGGATCTGCAACCTGTAGCAAGAGAGCTCCTGGAACACAAAACAAGACACAGAGTGAAATACAAGGGGGTCACATCCCCAGCAGAATTCATTCATTATTTAACATATCCTGACTTTTCCTTTCTCGTGGCCCCAGTCTTTATGGACCTCAGGTGCTCTCAGGCCCTGAATCAGAACAGGCTGTAAGTTACCTGTATGCGCTCTTGGACCCTAGTCCTTTTCCCTCTCTAGCCTGGCAAGCTTCCAGTGCTATGACCTTCAGTTTAGATTCTTTGCCCCTTTTGCTGGCCTCTTTTCATCGTTGCATCCCAGTTCACCCCCTTTTTCAACCCCAAACTTTTCTCATCTTTCTCATGCCCTTTTCTGAAGTCTCTAAGAATGTCAAGCCTGAAAGGGATCTCACTGATCAACGTCGCCAATCCATTTGAAGGTGGTGCTCTTTCTACAGCATAATCAACCTGTGGTCGTCCAAAGCCTGTTTGAATATCACAAGCAACAGGATGCTCATGACCTTTTAGATAGCTCGGCTTATTTTAGGCTGGTTTCAAGTTGCTGTTAGTACTTTTCTGGAGGCTTTTGCTGCTGATCAGTTCCTGGCTATAGCAAAATTTGTAGTCCAAGAGTAATTTTCAACCCTAGAGGGGCAGACTGGTAAGCAAGATCTATCAAATATTCCCCCCCATCCCTTTCTGGACTATCAGTGGGGAGAAGAGTGAATGTGTACCCTTTTCCTTGAAAGTCTCTTGATGTGATCTAAAACTCCATGCACATTTTGCAGTTTCCTCCATCACAAATCTATGTTTGTTTAACTATATGAATATGATCTTGTAACATTCATGCTCTGGGAAGAGGCACACCCGTGACTTCCGGTACCAGTGAGAGGTTGAATATCTAAGTTGAAAAAAACATGAGCCTAAAGCATAGAGGATTATTTATCAGTCTCATTCTCCCACTCTCCAGAGAAGGTTGGTAGGACACAAGTAGAAGTCTTTCTAAACGCTGAACTAAGTAAACACTTATCAAGGCTATCAGAAAGGAATGATGGTTCCCATTTGGAAGAAAATGAAAAATGAGGCTTAGAAAGAATGATTTCAGCAAAGGCTCACAAAGTCAATTGTTACAACAGGGACTTGAATTTAGATCTTTCTGCCTCCAGGGCCTATCCTTGAGTCCTGATAATCAAAAACATTCTGACTTCCCACTTATACTTGGTCCAGCCTAGACTGGCAACTCTAGCTTTGTTCTTCTCCAGGCCGTTTTCCCTTTGTTCATCTAAAATTAGAAGTTAGGGTCTCTCTGGTTGCGCAAGGAGTTGAGCGCAGTACTATGACGCAATCTGCAGCCTCTGCGACATGAGTTCGATTCCCCGGCCGGGCAGGGAGCAGCCCACATGGAGCAGCAGACCTCTCCTGTCTCACCCGCTGCTCCCCTCAGCAGTGTACTTCGGTCAATCTGCCTATTCTGTTTCCCGCTCTGTCTCTGACGGATCCTTTCACCCTCCGCACCTCTGGCCTGTACCCCAGTTCTCATATGCATAAATAAATACATAAATAAATCTTTAAAAAAAACCCCTAAAATTAGAAGTTAGACACGTTGGTTTCTAAGACCATTGCAGATGGGAAAATCTGTGCTCTAACCTTGCACATACCAATCAACACATATTAATGACAACTAGCTCTGGGCATTTAGGCAAATATAGCACAGCTTGTGATCTTGACAAACCCCATTTCATCAAGGAGGTGGGATAGTCAATGGGACCAACATATACATAGCCTCATCGTAACACTTAGTGCCTAAGTTGTGACTGTGGTCTGAGTAGAATGTTCTAGGAGGTTGAGGTGAGAGGGGTACAAAGAACACTGGGAAGGCTTCACAGAGTAGGTGATATTTGAGCTGAGTCTTGAAGGTTGAGTAGCAGTTCAGTAGGTGGACAAAAGAGAACATCCCAAGGACGGGAAATCACATGTGTAAAGGCGTGGGGTAAGAAAATGTGTGGTATTTGGGAAATGGAAGAGTAGCTCAGAACACAGGTTGTATGTGTGTGGGTGGAGTTATGTGTGTGTGTGTGTGTGTGTGTGTGTGTGTGAGAGAGAGAGAGAGAGAGAGAGAGAGAGAGAGAGAGAGAGAGAGAGAGAGAGAATAGACCAAGAAGGTGGATTTGACCTTAAATGCATGGTACACTAACTTATCTGAGGACTAGTGCTTTCCAAGTGGTTCTGAGGAGCAGCCTGGGGAAGGAGGTCCCTCAGGGACTCCTGGGGGTTTCAGCAGAACAACACTATTACCTGCATTATCTATGAGTTCTACTTGATTTCATCTGACAGAAAGTTTCCACTGCTAAGTCAGCAAGCAAACAAAAAAGTTATGGCCAATAGGGCTGCTGAAGAGCTTTCTGGAGAAGCAGAAAGCCATCTTTAAAAGAGACTGTGCATGTGCAAGGATGGAGGGCAGAAGTCTGGTGGTTGGCTTTTGGAACAGGAGTCTCTTATTCAGCTTCCTTGACTGGAGAGGGGAACTGTAATTAAGAGGTGGGGTGCACCTATCTCTCTGATAGGGGAGCATCAAAACTTAGGTCTCCCTCAGGGCTTGAGAAGTGTGTGTGATCTCTAGGAGGTAGTCCCCCTACCAGGGGGATGGGCAGGGGAGAGGCAGGAAGTGGGCAACTAGACTGACAAAGGTGCCTGTGGCGGTTTGCCCATCCCAGGTGGGAGGGCGGGGCCTAGGGCTCTGTCTGGGCCTCCAGTGACTTGACTTAGAACCTATGGGCTCAGAGAGAATACTAGTTAGGGGCTAAGATCCCATTTCAGCTTTTCTGTGCTTTGTAGATGGGGGGCCGTGGGGGCTGACAGTTTCAGGTAGTTTTGGAAATTCCCAGGGCAGTGCCCTAGGATGTCTGATTTGGGGGAGTAAATCTTGGGGGAGCCCCTTCTACCCCCTCTTTATTCCTCCAGGGACCATGGGCTGTAGCTGCAGCTCAAACCCTGAAGATGACTGGATGGAAAACATCGATGTATGTGAGAACTGCCATTACCCTATAGCCCCACTGGACGGCAAGGCCACGGTAAGAGGCAAGGCAGGAGGCTTGGCCAGGGAGTTGGTGGAGTCCAAGGGCAGAGAAAGAAATGGACCTCCTACAGGACCTATCTTTCAAATAGCACAGCCACCCTTCCCCCCCCCCCCCAATACTGAAAGGAAAAGAGGCCTGGGGCCTGGAGAGGGGAAGGGACTCTTTTAAAGTCACCCAGCAAGTAGTTCAGGATTTCCTGGATAAAACCCCACAAACAGCAAGCAGAGTAATGATGGAGGGGAGGGAGCTGGCCTAGTCTCCTCTCTGACTCCATTCTCACCTCTCACCCCACAGCTGCCCATGCGGAATGGCTCTGAGGTCCGGGATCCTCTGGTCGCCTATGAGGGCTTCAACCCTCCGGCCTCCCCATTGCAAGGTGACCTCAACCAGTAGGGCCTGGATGATAAGGCCTATGGATCCTGGCTATCCCCTCTATCTCCTCCCCACTAACCCTCTACCCTGTCCTGCCTCTTAGCCCCCCAACACCCCCACATCCCCACCTCTCCCCTCACCCCGCCTCCTCTTACCCTGTAGCCTCCTCTTACCCTGTAGCCCCTGAACTCCACATCCTAGCCAGTGGTTCACCCTGACTCTCTGTCATCACAGACAACCTGGTCGTCGCCCTGCACTGCTACACACCCGCTCACGATGGAGACCTGGGCTTTGAGAAGGGTGAACAGCTTCGTATCTTGGAGCAGTGAGTACCCCACCCCACCTTGCCTTGCAGGAGTTTGTGAACAGGGGCTCCTCGAACCTCAGCCCTCCTGTGCTCCCTGGTTTGCGTGGACACCCTTGAGACAAAACGGGAGGCTCCCAAGCGCAGAGCTGGAGGGCAGGGTGGTGTGGCTTCCCTGGGGGCTCTGAGCAGAGAACGCTGACGGCCACTTTGCGCAGGAACGGCGAGTGGTGGAAGGCACAGTCCCTGACCACGGGCCTGGAAGGTTTCATCCCATACAACTTTGTGGCCAAAGCGAACAGCCTGGAGCCCGAACCGTGAGTGGGGGCTCGTTGTGAGCATGGGTGGGAGCAGCCCTGGGGACCCGGGAAGACAGGAGGACTTCCGGTGGCGCAGCGGTTGAGCGCTGGGTTGTGAAGCTGCCCGCAGCCTCTGCAGCGCAGGTTCGATCCCCGGCCGCCAGGCGGGGATCCCACATGGCGTGCAGACCTCTCCTGCCGCCCGCTGCTCCCCTCAGCAGTGTACTTCGGTCCTTCCGCCTGCTCTGCTCCCCGCTCTGGCTCTGGTGAGTTCTCTCACCCTCCTGCGCTTCTGACTGTACCCAGTGCTTGTATAAATAAATAAATAAATCTTTAAAAAAAAAAAACAAAGACAGGAGGACTGCTGGGGGCTGTGTGCATGCTTGAGGGTGATGGCGGGAGAATGGATCAACAACCTTTGCTGCTGCCTTGCGCAGCTGGTTCTTCAAGCACCTGAGCCGCAAGGACGCAGAGAGGCAGCTCCTGGCGCCCGGGAACACGCACGGATCCTACCTGATCCGCGAGAGCGAGAGCACAGCCGGTGAGCGCCGCGGGCCTCGGGCAGGGGCTGGGGGGCCCGGCCCGGGGGCCTCGGTGCGCGGGGTTCGCCCCAGCGGGGAGGCGGCGTGACGAAGGGGGCCCCCAAGAAGTCTCACCGCCCTCTCTTGCATCGTTCACCCATTCATTCACTCAGGATCGTTTTCCCTGTCGGTCCGGGACTTCGACCAGACCCAGGGAGAAGTGGTGAAACATTACAAGATCCGTAACCTGGACAACGGCGGCTTCTACATCTCCCCCCGCATCACCTTCACGAGCCTGCACGAGCTGGTCCGCCATTACACCAGTGAGCCCGGCAGGACCCCTCAGACGCGCGCCCGGGGCTCCCTCTCCAGCGCCCCAGCAGTCTGCGTCCCGCGGGGGCCGCTCGGGGTTCCCTCCACCCGTCCCTCAGGACGCCCCTTTATTCCCCGAGGGCGCGAGGGGCTGTGTCCTCTAGCCCCAGGAGTCGGGCGACAGCCCCCCACCTCCCTGCCCAGTCCGCTTCCCCTGGACCGGGGGGCCTGGCCAGAGGGACTAGGTGGGGTCCCCGAACCGGCTCCCCGCCCCCTTTGACAGTCCTGCTTCTCCCCCTTTTCTTGCCAGATAACCCGGACGGGCTGTGCACGCGCTTGAGCCGCCCCTGCCAGACCCAGAAGCCCCAGAAGCCGTGGTGGGAGGACGAGTGGGAGGTGCCCAGGGAGACGCTGAAGCTGGTGGAGCGGCTGGGGGCCGGCCAGTTCGGGGAGGTCTGGATGGGTGAGTGCGCCCCCAGGGCCGGCGGGAGCGGGCGCGGGGGACCCGAGGTCGCGGGAGCCCCGCCGCGAAGCCGGCCTCGGGGCAGCTGCCCGGCTGGGGGCCCCGCGGCGGGTGACGCCCCTCCCCGCCTCGCCGCAGGGTTCTACAACGGGCACACGAAGGTGGCGGTGAAGAGTCTGAAGCAGGGCAGCATGTCCCCCGACGCCTTCCTGGCCGAGGCCAACCTCATGAAGAAGCTGCAGCACCAGCGGCTGGTGCGGCTCTACGCGGTGGTCACGCAGGAGCCCATCTACATCATCACCGAGTACATGGAGAACGGTGGGCGCTGCGCGGGCGCCGCCGCTGGGGGGCGCTGCTGCGCCCCGACCCCGACGGAGGGTGGAGGAGAGGCGCCTGTTCGTTTTAGCGGGCGGTTTCTAGAGCAGTTTTCCTGGGCCCCTGAAGACACCTCCGGGGCCAGAAGTGTGTCACCTGGACCACCTGGGAGCCCGGACTCTGGAAGAGCATTCGTTTCCTGTTAACCCTGACCCGCAGTCCCCTTTGCCTTGTTCACAGTCCTTCCTTGCTCCCTGATGGGTGGTTCCTCCTCCCATTTCTCCCCCTTCTGCCTCTGAGCCCTGGGAGGGGACATCTGCCCCCAAAGCTCCCTTTTTCAGTCCTGAGTGAGCCCATCTCTATCCCTTGGTCTGCTCTGGGACAGGGCGAGGGCCCCAAGAAGGTAGATAGGTGTTTCCAGGCTCAGCTTAGTCACCAACTTGCTGTGTGGCACAGGCTGCATCCCTAGTCCACCTCTGGGGCTCATGTATTCCCCATGTATTCCAGCAGAAATCTAAATGGATTTACTCAGAAATAATTAAGAGTAGTCATTAATATAGGCCATCAGTCAGGGTTAGAGTTGGCTGGGTTAGAATCTGGCTTCACAATGGTGTGGTCTCGGGTTCATCATTTCACTTCTGTTGGCCTTGGTTTTCTCCCCTGTCTAATGGTGAAAATAATGCACTAGTAACTTTATCATAAAGTCTTTGTGAGGATGAAAGAGTTAACGAGCAATTAGAACAATGCCTGCCCTGTGTTAACCAATGTTTGTGATTGTTAGCTGGCTCTGAATCTTTGGGAGTGTGAAATCTCTCCCTCTTTCAGGAATGGGAAAAAGTTGTTCATTGGCTATTTGGTCTGGAAGTGGCAAATAGTTTTTATCATGTGGGCCAACTTCAGCTGGTAGTTGCCTAGAGCTTTGTGTTGAGAAGGGTTCTGAGGCACTCTGAAAATGAGCGCTGGGATTGATCTGTCATGGACACACAGAAGAGTGGCAATACACCTCATATTTATTGGGTGATACCCTTATCTCTGATGACTAACTCAGCACTCATAGTGGGGGCACTCAAGTTGTTATCATCTTTACATAGTTTTAATCTCTTTTTAAAATATTTATTTATGCATACAAGAACTGGGGTACAGGCCAGAGGTGCAGGGGTTGGTAGTGAGAGGATCTATCAGAGAGAGAGAGAGTGGGGACAGAACAGGCTGATTGAAATACACTGCTGAGGGGAGCAGTGGGCGAGACATGAGAGGTCTGCTGTGTCACGTGGGTAGCTTCCTGGTCGGGTATCAAACTCGTGCTGCAATGGCTGCGAATAGCTTCCTAGTGCTGAGACTTAATACCTTGCGCCACCAGGGAGGCCCAGTTTTAATCTCTTGAGAAGGGCCAGCCATCACTAGCTCTGTTCCAGCAACTCCCATCCTTGGTCTTCTCCTAGTTACCCTCCACCACCTGAGTTCCTCAGGTCCCCAAACACCTCTTTCCATACTCCATTTAATACATTCAGCACACATTTACTGCTGCTTGCTTTGAGTTAGGCACTGGCTATGTGGATAGACCAAACAAGCTTCCTGCTATCAAGGAAATCTGATTTTAGTTATGAGCACTAGGAAACCAGGGTCTGTGCCATAGAAAAGTTCCAGCATGCCACAGGAATGTGGATGATGATGCAATTTATTATGCCTGGTAGGATCTAAAGAGGCTTCCTAGAGGAAAATTATATCTGGGTTATGAATGGAAAGTAGAATTTTTAGCAGCAAACTAAAGACTTTGGGGTAAGAACCCAGTGGTCTATGTGAAAAAAATCCCAAAATTGTCTAGGGTGGTTGGAATGAAAAAGGCAGGAGTCAGGGGAAGAGAAGAAGCTACAATTGTGGACCATGTAGGGCTTTGGAGTTTGGACCATGCAGCGAATGCCCGGCTGAGGAGTTTGAGTTCTACCCCATTGTTGGCAAGAAGCTTACAGACCTCTCAAAATGTGTCCCATCCTAATACTCCCCCCAAAGCCCCTCCCCCCCAAAAAAAAGACTTTCATATACCTCAGACATCCTCTCCCTGAACACACTGCTTTCAGACCTCCAGTTAGGGGAGAAGAGTCTTGGAACTCCCCCCTTCCCCCACCCAGGCAACTTGGGTCTTTCTTCCTCCCTCCCTCCCTCCCTCCCTCCCTCCCTCCCTCCCTCCTTCCTTCCCCCCCTTCCTTCCTTCCTTCCTTCCTTCCTTCCTTCCTTCCTTCCTCCTTCCTTCCTTCCTTCCTTCCTTCCTTCCTTCCTTCCTTTCTTTCTTTCTTTCTTTCTTTCTTTCTTTCTTTCTTTCTTTCTTTCTTTCTTTCTTTCTTTCTTTCTTTCTTCCTCAGATTTATTTATTTATGCATATAAGAGCTGGGGTACAGGCCAGAAGTGCAAGGGGTGAGAGGATTCACCAGAGACAGAGTGGGGAACAGAACAGGCAGACTGACTGAAATACACTGCTGAGGGGAGCAGGGGGAGAGACAGGACAGGTCTGCTGCACCATGTGGGTAGCTCCCTGGCAGGCCGGGGATCTAACTTAGGCCACAGTGACTGATGATAGCTTGATAGCGCTCTGTCTTTTTCTTTAATATTTATTTTTTTATGCATACAAGAGCTGGGTTGCAGACCAGAGATGCGGTGGGTGAGAGAATTCACCAGAGACAGAGTGGGGAACAGAACAGGCAGACCGACTGAAATACACTCCTGAGGGGAGCAGCGGGAGAGACAGGAGAGGTCTGCTGTGCCATGCGGGTATCTCTCTGGCTGGCCGGAGATGGAACTCGTGCTACAGTGGCTGTGGCTTGCTTCATAGTGCTGTGCTCAACCCCCTGCACCACAAGGGAGGCCCAATAACACTGTGTCTTTAACCCCTGTGCCATCAGGGAGGTCCCATCAGCAATTCTTGCTTCTGCCCACAGGGAGCCTGGTGGATTTTCTCAAGACCTCCACAGGCATCAAGCTGACCATCAACAAACTCTTAGACATGGCAGCCCAAGTAAGGAGACTGGGAAGGGTGGGCATGGACACCAGTCAGTGGGGTAAATCCTGACCCAGGACCACTGACCTGTACCTGGCCTGCAGATTGCAGAGGGCATGGCTTTCATTGAAGAGAAAAATTATATCCACCGTGACCTGAGGGCTGCCAACATCCTGGTGTCTGATACCCTGAGCTGCAAAATTGCAGACTTTGGCTTAGCACGCCTCATTGAGGACAACGAATACACAGCCAGGGAGGGTAGGTATGGGATATAAGGGAGGTCTGGGGCCTCCCAGAGTCTGGCCAAGCAGACCCATGTCACCTCACTCTGCCTACTACCAGGAGCCAAGTTTCCCATTAAGTGGACAGCACCAGAAGCCATTAACTATGGGACATTCACCATCAAGTCTGATGTGTGGTCTTTTGGGATCCTGCTGACAGAAATTGTCACCCATGGTCGCATCCCTTACCCAGGTCAGTGCCAAGGATGGGAACTGAAAGGGGGCTAGGGGAGGGCAACAAATCCATGCCTTTCCATTCACTTCTTCCAAGGCACAGTAGCTGAACTTTTTTTTTTTTTTAATAGAGGCATGTTTTATTTATTTGTTTGTTTGTTTTGTTTATACATGCACTGGGTACAGTCAGAAGCGCGGGAGGGTGAGAGAATTCACCAGAGCCAGAGCGGGGAGCAGAGTAGGCAGAAAGACCGAAGTACACTGCTGAGGGGAGCAGCGGGCGGCAGGAGAGGTCTGCTCGCCATGTGGGACCCTCCTCCGGTGGCCGGGGAGCAGCCGGGGATTGAACCGGCGCCGCAGAGGTCGCGGGCAGCTTCGCAACCCAGAGCTCAACCACTGCGCCACCGGGGAGGCCCCAGTAGCTGAACTTTTTAAAAAGATTTATTTCTTTATTTATGCATACAAGAACTGGGGTTCAGGCCAGAGGTACGGGGGTGGGGGTGGGGTGAGAAGATTCACCAGAGACAGAGTGGGGGGCAGAACAGGCAGATCCACCAAAATACACTGCTGAGGCTGAGAGAACAGTGGGTGAGACAGGGGAGGTCTGCTGTGCCATGTGGGTCAGCTCCCTGGCCAGGGATCGAACTTGTGCTGCAGAGGCTGCCGATAGCCTCATAGTGCTGAGACTTAATCCTTTGCGCCACCAGGGAGGCCTTATCTAAACTTTTTAAACTGATCCTTCTCTGCCCTCCCGGGGATGGGACTCCAACATCCCTAAACAGAGGTCACATCTCCGTGGGCTGGCTGCCATCTATGACTCAGAATCTCTCCTTTTTAGTGATCCAAGCTCTTTTCTTTAGTTTTGAGACAGGCAGCCTAGGATCGTAGAAGAGGATCTGGCCTGGGAGATCTGGCCTCCCTTTTATTACCAGATCCGCCATGATACTAACTTTCTGCATATTCTCGATCAGATCATTTATTCTTTCCCCACCTGCAAAATGTGAGGTTAGAATAGCGTCTCTCAAAAGTGTCAGGTTTTCTTATTAATCATCACTTTGGGCAAGTGGCTTTAGGCAGGTGATTTACCTCTCTGAGCCTCAGATGTAAAAACAAGAGGTGATTTGTGAGAGTCTGACTCATAGTAGACACTAAACATTCACTCCCCCCCTTCTGAAGTTGCTTTCTAAAGAATGAGAGAGAGATGTAAACAATGTATTCTCACCCTCTCTCAACTCCCTCTCTCTCCTTCACCCTATCAATTTTCCCTTTTGAAAGGAACTTGCTAGGAAAGTCTGGAAAAGAGATATGGATCCAAAGGTGGGTAGGGAGGCCCTGGAGCACAGAGGGTGGATTTACAGAAACTTCACGTCCCCAGAGCAGTGTGCACAGAACTTTGCTTCTAGGTAGGTAAAGGCACCTTGGCATCAAGGGGGAGCCTGGAGGACTTCCTTGCCCCATGGCAGAGTCCAAGGGCTGTGCTGGGCCTAGAACCACACTCTAATTGTTCTGCACTCTAAGTGCCCTTCCTGCTCCTCTGCTGTGCTACAGTAGCAAACCCATAGAGAATTTCTCTATTAGAAGAAAAAAGGCAGTGAAAGCAAGTTGATAAATGGCAACTAACACATCACTGCTGGGTCAGGGAGACAATGGGGAATAAAAAAGGGCCTGGTTGAACTTGCATCTACTGCAGCAGATGGTTACCATCAAGACATGGGGACTGGGCCTTCCTGGTGGTGCAAGGGGTTAAGACGCAGCCTATGAGGCTGTCCACAGCCATTGCAGCACAAGTTCAATCCCCGGCCTACCAGGGAACAACCCACACGGTGCAGCAGACCTCTCCTGACTCGCCCTCTGCTCCCCTCAGCAGTGTATTTCAGTCAATCTGCCTGCTCTGTTCCCCACTGTCTCTGGTAAATCCTTACCCCCCACACCTCTGGCCTGTACCCCAGCTCTTTTATGCAAATATAAATAAAAAAATCTTTAAAAAAAAAAGACATGGGGATCCCCAAACCAGTTCTTTAGTCTTTTTGGTTGTTGTTGTTGTTAAGGATTTATTTATGCATACAAGAACTGGGCACAGGCCAGAGATGAGGGGGTGAGACAGAGTGGGAAACAGAACAGGCAGACTGATGAAATACACTGCTGAGGGGAGCAGCAGGCGAGACAGGAGAGGTCTGCTGAGCCATGTGGGTAGCTCCCTGGCTGGCCACAATCTAACTCGTGCTGCAGAGGCTGCAGACAGCTTCACAGTGCTGTGCTTAACCCCTTGCGCCACCAGCAAGGCCTTTAGTCTTTTCAAGAGAAGCCAGAAATTGGAGTTTCAGGAAAGTTTGCCCATTTCCAAATGTGCCCATTCCCTATCAATTTATGATTGATAGGGACCAAACCAAAGCAGGTCAGCGGCTCTCTTTGGACTGGCTTTAGCTTATGGGCTTTGTACCACACCATGGGTGTTTAGTTCTCTTGCTTGTGTCCTCCAGTGTCCTGACTTTGAAATGTACCCATAGCCGGAGGCCTCTGGGATGAGGCCCAGGGAAGAGGGCTATCTCTTTTGATGAGTCCCAAGCTTCCCAGGAGCAAAACTGCTATTTTTCCAGGACCCTATAAGGGTTTAGTCTTTGGAGACTGCCTGTCAACAGGAGACTGAAGGAGGAACCAGAGGCCACATGGGTAATTTAGAAACAAGAAACTGATTCTGCCATGACCATGTGGGTCTGCGGAGCAGCCCTTTTTGGGGCCCACATGTTAGGAGCCTACCTGGGAGGTAGGACCAGCTCAAAGGGAAGAAGCTTATGCACAGATAATTTCACCTGAGTCGTGAAGGGGCTTGTGGACCTTCTCTACCCCAGCAAAGTCTGCTTTGCTGAGACCCAGTGTCCAGCTGGCTTCCTGATGCTTCTCATGTGCCTGGTCTCTCACAAAGCTGGAGAAACCTTATCTCTGTCCTGGTAGGGGCCTCCCATCCTGGCCTGGGCTGCGACCACCCCAATTGATCACAATGGCAGGTCCTCTTCTCAAAGTCTCTGCTTTCTATGCACTGGGGGCTTATATACACCATCTCATTCGATTCTCATAACAACTATGAGGTAGGAGCTATGGTTGTTTCCACTTTCCAGATTTGAGGCTCACAGAGGTTAGGGGGCTCACCCATGCATGCTCTCACAGCCAACATGTGTGCTTTACTGAGTGTCTAAGCTTCAGCAGACATGCAAGTGGCACAGCTGACATTGAGCATGTACCGCTAGTGTGCCTGTACCATCAAGGAAGGCCCAGTTTTTTTCAGACGGGCGTTCACACCAGTCCAGTTGCAAAATATTCTGAATGTCACCCCTGCCCATGGGCTTTCAAAGCCAGTGCTTTTTTTTTTTTTTTAAGATTTATTTATTTATGCATACAAGAACTGGGGTGTAGGCCAGAGGTATGGGGGAGTGAGAAGATTCACCAGAGAGACAGTGGGGAGCAGAACAGGCAGATCTACTGAAATACATTGCTGAGGGGAGCAGCGGGTGAGGTAGGAGAGGCCTGCTGTCCCATGTGTGTTGCTCCCTGGCTGGGGATCAAACTTGTGCTACGGTGGCTTGCGATAGCTTGATAGCGTTGTGTTTAACCCTGCACCAACAGGGAGACCCAAAGCCAGTGCCTTGACATCATTTCTCCCATAACCTTCCAGGGATGACCAATCCCGAGGTAATTCAGAACCTGGAGCGAGGCTACCGAATGGTACGACCCGAAAACTGTCCAGAGGAGCTGTACGATCTCATGAACCTGTGCTGGAAGGAACGCCCGGAGGACCGGCCCACCTTTGACTACCTGCGCAGCGTGCTGGATGACTTCTTCACAGCCACAGAGGGCCAGTACCAGCCCCAGCCCTGAGAGGTCCAGCTGGCAGGGTCTTGGTGCCCTCCCCCCATCTTTCCGAACTTGTTGGGGGATATGAAGTTCTTGTGCCACCCCCACGTGGCCTATGCACATATGGACTCTGCACATGAATCCTGCCCACATGTAACACACACTTCTTATGTCTCCCACATGGATTCTGCAGCTGCGTGGGCTCTCCACATGTGTCTTGCATATGTGGGCCTGTGCATGTATGTCTTGGACATCTGTCCAAGGTGTCCCCTCTGGGTCCTTCCATTTCCACCAGAGAGAGGAGAAAGGCCTGTGATGGACACCAGCTTCTGCCCACTCCCTTTCCTTTTCCCAGGTCATGGACAAACTCCTTCAGGGCCTGGACCTTATGTAATACCTCTGTGTGCTCCTCCTCAGTGCCTGCCACACATCAGGAGCCCAATAAATGTCTGTTTGTTGATGACAGTTCTACATTTCTCTGCCTACCACGCCTATCTCTCTTTTTTGGGAGGGGGCAATGAGGGTTCTGAGTCACCCTGAATTGGGGTAAAATATGGGAGGAAGGGATGTCTGAACTCTTTTCAGCACTAGTGATGCTGAGGATCAAGAGGCAGTCCCTACACTTTGCTGTATGAGCTCTATGAACTGCTTCAAATGGGACAATTTTTCTCACCCCATTCTAGAGGATTCCTGGAGATCCCTAACCCTCCCTACTACATATAGGTAAAGAGCATTAAAGAAATATACCTACTGATTCATATTCAATATGTTTTGATTTACCTTCAGTGTTTGTTTTTTTTTAAGATTTTTAAAAATTTGTTTATGCATACAAGAACTGGGTGGTAGGCCAGAGTTGCGGGGGGATGGGGAGTAAGAGGATTCACCAGAGACAGAGTGGGGAGCAGAACAGGCAGATCTTCTGAAATACACAGCTGAGGGGACCAATAGGCAAGAGAGGAGAGGTCTACTTGTCATGTGGGTTAACTTCCTGGCAGGGGATCTAACTCAACCCATAGTGTCTGGAAATAGCTCGATAGAGCTGAGACTTTACCCCCTTCAGTATGTTTTTAAGCACTGAATTAATTCACTTTTTTTTTTTAAAGATTTGTTTATTTATGCATACAAAAGCTGGAGTGCAGGCCAGAAGTGCAGGGGGTAAGAGGATTCACCAGAGACAGAGTGGGGAACAGAACAGGCAGATTAACTGAAATACGCTGCTGAGGGGAGCAGCAGGCGAGATAGGAGAGGTCTACTGCGCCATGTGGGTCACCTCCCTGGCCGGGATCTAACTCATGCTGCAGTGGCTGCAGATCGCTTTACAGTGCTGAGACTTAACCCCTTGTACCACCAGGGAATTCACTGTTTTAACAGTTCTAGACACATAGGATAAACAGTGAAAAAACAAACAAAAATCTCTGGCCTATGATGCTGACATTCTAATAAGGAAAGACAGGCAGTAGTCATTGCAAAGAAGTAAATGATATGGCATAAAATAAAGGATATGGTATGCTATGAGGTGCTAAGTACTAATGGGAAAATAGAGAAAGGTGTGGGGAATTAGTGTTTGGGGGAAGGTTTGCATTTGGGTGATCAGGGAGGCCTCATTGAGAGGGTGACTTTTGAACAAAGATTTGAAAGTGAGGGCCTCCCCGGTGGCGCAGCATTTGAGCGCTGGGTTGCGAAGTGCGAAGCTGCCCGCAGCCTGCATCTTCTGCAGCTCTGGTTCCATCCCCGGCTGCTGAGTGAGGGTCCCACATGGCGCGCAGACCTCTCCTGCCGCCCGCTGCTCCCCTCAGCAGTGTACTTCGGTCCTTCTGCCTGTTCTGCTCCCTCCTCTGGCTCTGGTGAATTCTCTCACCCTCCCGCACTTCTGACTGTACCTAGTGCTTGTATAAATAAATCTTTAAAAAGGAAAAAAAAAAAAAAAAAAAAGAAAGTGAGGGAGTGAGCCAACTTGTATTAAGGAGGAGGGTCAGTTAGAAGGAATAGCCTGAGGCAGAAGATGCCTAACAAGGGTGGCCTGGGAGAATAGGAACAGATCCTAGGAGTCCTGGGGCCTTGTGGTCTTTGCAGGAGCCGTTTTAAGGAGACTACAAGGATTTGTTCAGAGCCATGACATGGTCTGACTTACCTTTTTTTGAAGACTTATTTATGCATACAAGAGCTGGGGTGTAGGCTAGAGGTGCAGGAGGGCGAGAAGATTCACCAGAGAGAGAGTGGGGAGCAGAACAGGTGGATCCACTGAAACACACTGCTGAGGGGAGCAGCGGTGGAGACAGGAGAGGTCTGATGCACCTTGTAGATAGCTTCACAGTGCTGAGACTTAACCCTTTGTGCCACAAGGGAGGCCCTGACTTACCTTTTAAAAGGGTAGTCTTTATTGCTATCTTAAAACTAGATTGAGTCAGCGGCCAATTTCTAAAATGGGAGATTTTTCGAGTGACTCTATATTTCTGCCTTCTCTTGAAAAATTCGATTTGATCCCATTGTTTGGGTTTATCTGTCCTCATGGAGCTGAGTAGTGGCCACTTCTACAGATGGGCATGAGCTCTCCCTCTGCCAAAGTCTCCAATATGCCCTTTATTTCTGCTAAGAAGTGAGAAAATTAGATACCTGAAGATGGCACTGTTTTAAAGAAAGATGGGGCTAGGCATTTTTTTTGGTGAAAGTGAAAAAGAATCCGGTTTATTTTTATTTTTATTTACATTTTAAAAGGACAGACTTATTAGGAAAAGGAGGAAGGAAAGAAGAGAAACACCTGCATAGTCACAGTTGGGCAGGGAGGAGAGCTGAAAAAAAATCCAATTTTAAAAATATACAAAGCACCTGAATCAAACTAATATAAAAATAGAAATAGAAGCCTACTCATTTACATCACCTGCCTGACCTCATAGGCATCTGAGTTTGTGATTCCTGTTCTGCATTTTATAAAATGCTGCCACACCCATGACCTCATCTGATCTCCACTTTCCTCCTCCTTTGGACACTGTGGAGCCATAGAGTTAGTGAATTTGAACATTGTATTCTCATCCTCTGCATTTTACAAAGAGGGAATGGAGTCTTGGAAAGGTTAAGTAAAACCACGCAAACAGGCTAGGAAGCAGCAACACAGAACAGAAGAGAGGTTTTTCTGTACTTTGGCCCTTTGCTGTTTCTATAATAGAATTGCTTGGTCTCAGGTCTTCTGTTACCATTATACTTAATGATCCAAACACACTTCCCAAATGAGGCGCGCAATGCCTGTAAACAGGCATAAAGATGTATCTTATTGACTGTAGGCTCATGAGTGAATAAATTACAGGGCACATCGTAAGCACTCACTAAATAATATTGTTGTAGTTATTGTAATAGTCCATCACAGGGCTTTTCAGCTTTCAGTAATGGCTAGTTGATGACTGATCTGTTTAGTGCAGGGGTTCTCAAGGGGAGGCTGCTGGTCAGTTTTACACTCTTCCTATTTATCCATTGCCTACTCTGGGGACATTTTTGCAATGTCTGAAGACAATGTCTGTGGTCACAACTGGCAGGGGAAGATTCTACTTGAATCCCAGGAATAGAGGTCTAGACGCTGCTAAATGGCCTACAATGCACAGGACAGCCCGTACAATAAAGAATTATCCAGCCCCAAAAGTCAATAGCTTCAAGGTTGAGGAGCCCTGCTCTAGCAGGAGTGGACAGATTTCTCCTTTCTGAAGGCACTCGGCGCGCCTGGGCGAGTGCATCAGGCACACAGGCTTTGGTGTAGGAAAGGCTGGCTCCTGCCCCTTGGTTACAGTGCATCTGGTCACACAGCGGGTATTTTAAAAAGCCTTGCAGCTGGAAATTGAATTTAATTACTGGTTGTGTGACTACGAGCAAGTTACAAAAGTCTGAACTTCATCATGTTTATCTAGAAACGGGGACAAAAAGCCCAGCTCCAAAGCTCTCGTGAGGACTCATGTAACCGAGACGACAAGCGGGTAAAGCAATGGCACGGTGCTGGGCCCCAGCAGGCCCCGGCAGGCTCTCTCCTCTGTCAGTTCCTTCTCCCTCTCCAAACCCTCGCTCCTGAATCCAGATTCCACCCTTTCCCGAGCCGAGTGACCTTGAGCAAGTCACTTCCCTCCCCACCCCCGTGGGCTTCAGTGGACTCTCTAAAATTTCAAAGTTGGCCTCAGCCCTCCAAGCAGGCTTCCAACGACGAAGTGGGACTGTGAGGCTCACAGACCTGCTTTCTTCCCCCGGGACTAATGGTACAGTCCCGGGGCAGCTCCCCCACCCCCCGCCGTCGTGGACCTTGGTACAGGCCCGGGGGGCCCCCGGTCGCCTCTCAGGGCAGCCCTTGCCCCCTGCCGAGTTCCGGGCCGTCCCTGCGCACGCTGATTGGCTGGAGCGTTGCCCGGGCTGCGCGGCTATAGGTGAGCCGGGGAGGGAATGGGCGGGGCGGGCAGGAGGCCCGCCCCTCCCCCCTGGGTCGGACGCTGAGCTGAACCGCGGGCGGGAGGATCGACGGACGGACTGACGGGACGGGCGGCGGGCGAGCAAGATGGCGCAGACTCAGGGCACCAAGAGGAAAGTCTGTTACTACTACGACGGTGAGCCCCGTCCTCGCGGCGGCGGCGGCGGCGGCGGGGCCGGGGCCGATCCGGGAGCCGGAGGCTGGGGGGGCTGAGCGTTGGGGGGGGCTGGGAGGAGGCTGAGGGGAAGGGAGGTCGCGCCTGAGGGAGGAGGCTGGGAGGAAGAGGTCGAGGCTGCGAGAGGAGGCTGAGGCCGCGCCGGGGTCGCCTGGGGCAGGCTGAGGTGATCTTCGCGGGGGAATTCTGAGGAAGTCTGAGGAGAGTTTGGGGCACCCAGAGGAGGGGCGGAATCTGATGGGGCAGGTTTCAGGGATGCAGCTTCCCGCGGGGAACACCGAAGTGTTTCTCGGTCCCGTCCTTCCTCGCCCCTTTTGGTGAGCAGTCGGCGGGCGCGCCCAGCGAGCGGTCACCAGCTTCCCTCCCCGGCGTCCGAGCGGGACCTGCAGTAGCTGCTGGGAAACGAGAGCCCTGGGGTCGGAAGGAGAAGGCTGCGACCTGTTAAAACAGACTTTTATTTTTAAAAAATCCGTTGAGCGGCTGACTCTGCACTGGGTCTGCTTAGGTGCTGGGGCCATGGGGGTCATCAGGTCCCTCTCTGCCTCCAGCCAGTCTGGAGGGGAGATGGACAGTGATGAAGACTTGCTCTCCGCAGGGCCGGGATAAGGAAATGCCCGGAGTGCTGTGGGTGCACAGGGAAGAGGTACCCAGCCCTGCGCGAGGAGTCGGGGAGAGAGGTGCCATTTCAGTTAGGACCTGAAGAACAGGAGTTAGGAAGGCGGGCACGGGGAGTGCAGAGCTTCCAGAAGTTCAGAGGCAGGACAGGAAAGCACCTTGGGAAAACAACAGGTTTGTGTACAGCGTGGGTGAGGCATGGATTTGAAGACAGGGTGTGGAAAGTAAGGATCAGGGATGAGGGGAAAGTTGCAAATGAGGCTAGAGAAGTGAGGATGAGGAAGAGCATGAAGGGCTGGGCATCCCATCTGCAGGAAAGTGGACTTATTCCGAGAGCTTTTGGGAATCACATGCAGGCTAGTGACAGCACCTGATGATACCTTAAAACTATCTCTCTGGGGCAGGAATGAAATTCATGAATTTAGGTGTAGAAAGAGGGCAAGAACCCCAAGTTTCTGGTTTGGGCAGGTTGATGTTGAGTGTTTGGAGGAGGCCATGTCAGTTGGTAACTTTGGTTGGTTTTTGGTTTTGTTTTTAAAGAAATACTTGTTTGAAAAAAAGAGAACCAAAAAACAAAAGAAATATTTGTGGAGCTGTCTGGAGGATAGCCAAGTAGAGGTGTCCAGTGAGCAGTTGACCAGTCAGGTCTGCAGTTGAGAAGATGCATGTGAGAAGAGAGATTTTTAATAGTTATTAGCGTACAGATGATAATTTTAGCAAGAGAAGAGGTTGTACTCATCCAAGAAGTTGTTAACAGAGTGAAGAGAGAAAAGGATCCAGGTTGGAATTACAAGAAAAGGGCAACTGAGGAAAAAGTATAGTGCCCATTATGTGCTAATCTCCTTTGTCACAGCATTTGTAACTGTGTATGAGAATTGCCACTTACTTGTTGATACTGCTTACAGTGAGCGCGCCTACCTGCATATGCTCAGTCCCCCAAACACTGCCTAACTCATTGTAGGATGGCAGTAAATGTTGGTTGGTTAAATGAATGAAGATAAAAAGGGAATGGCCAGAGGTGAACCAAAAAATATTGGGTTACAGTAGCCAAAAGAGGGAGGGAGTGGCTAATTGCTGGCAAGAACTGTTTCCTGTTTAGGGGTTGGAAGGTGGATTGCAGCAAAATGAGAATGAATGGATGGGTGAGGGTGAAGAAAAGACATCAAGTTGAATCCTTTTTATTATTCTTTTAAAGTTATCTTTTTAAAAAAAAGATTTATTTATTTTTTTAATTAATAATAAATTTTATTGTTATATTCCCCATACAATTTCAACCCCCCCATTCTGACCCCAGTCCCTCCCCTCCTGCCCCCCACCCCCCAAAAAGTGTCTCTGGTTCATAGTTTTTTGTTGATTTTGATTTTCACTTTCTTACAGTTATTCATTTTCCTGGTCCCTTATTTAAGTTTTCTAGAAGATTTATTTTTATTTACACAAGAACCCCCGGGTACAGGCCAGATGTGTAGGAGGGTGAGAGGATTCACCAGAGACAGAGTGGGGAACAGAACAGGCAGACTAACTGAAATACACTGCTGAGGGGAGCAGCGGGTGAGACAGGAGAGGTCTGCTGCGCCATGTGGGTTTCTCCCTGGTCAGCTGGGATCGAACCAGAGCTGCAGAGGCCGTGGACAGCTTCACAGTGAGGCAGGCGCTCAACCACCTGTGCTACCAGGGAGGCCCTAAAGTTATCTATTGAGATAACATTGATTTACCACACTGTGTATGTTCTAGGTGTAGATTGAAACCCTTTATTTTATTTTATTTTTTTAAAGATTGATTTATTTATACAAGAACTGGGGTATAGGTCAGAGGCGCGGGAGGGTGAGAGCATTCACCAGAGAGAGCGGGGAGCAGAACAGGCAGACGGACCAAAGACGCTGCTGAGGGAAGCAGCTGGCGAGGCTCCCTGGCCAGCTGGGAATTGAACCCATGCTGCAGACGCTGCGGACAGCTTCACAGCGCAGCGTTCAACCCGCTACACCACCAGGAGCCCCTTTATTTTATGTTTTAAAAAGATTAATTTATTTGTGCATACAAGAACTCGAGTACAAGCCAGAGGTATAGGGGGTGAGAGGATTAACCAGAGACAGAGTGGGGTGCAGATCAGGCAGACTGAAATACACTGCTATGGGGAGCAGCGTGTGAGACAGGAAAGGTCTGCTGCTCCATGTTGCACCCTGGCCAGGCCCAGGATCGAACTCTTGCTGCAGAGGCTGCGGATACTTCACAGTGCTGTCCTTAACCCCTTGCGCCACCAGGGAGGCCCTGAAACCCTTTAAAAATAAGATTGTTGGGGCAGAGAGAGAGAATTACTGCAAAATGCTGAGAAATGAGAATATTTAAATAGCTACAAAAATAGAGAAGGGGGAGGTTGAAGCAGGAGAGAAGGGCTAGTAATAAGGAAAATAGACCTGATGAAATGGAAAGCTAAGCATAGCTTGGGATACCAGCCTTCTAGAGGAAGCTCCTCTGTGAGGAGAGGGTGAGTGTCAAGGAAACGTTCAAATGTGGTTAAGTAGTATAGGAATCTTGGAGAAGGTATTTAAGTTGCTGTTGTGAAAGAGGGAGCTGTGAAAAGACCTCAGTCTTGGAGAAGGGAACACATTGCTTGTGAGTTTTGCGGTGAGGTCACTAGTTTGAGACTCAGACTTGGCTCTACTACTCAAAGCTTTGCAGTATTGGGCAAGTTACTTTACCTTTCCAAGCCTCAGGAGACTCTCATAAAACAAATAATAGCAGTTCCCACTATGAGAACAGTGCTGGGAAAGCTCTTTAAAAATTTAAAATTAGTATCTAAATAAAAAGGATCATTTCTTTTAAAGTCTCTCAGCAACCTGATTAAAAACTGTTAAGATGAGTCCCACCCTCAGGTACTCCCTTAGCCTTCTAGATAAGGTATCTTAGTTCCCCAAGTCTAAGCCTTGGCTGACTCTAGCTTGATAGTCTTTTTTTTTTTTTAAGATTTATTTATTTATACAAGCACTGGGGTACAGGCCAGAGGCGCGGGAGGGTGAGAGAATTCACCAGAGACAGAGCAGGGAGCAGAACAGGCAGAAGGACCGAAATACACTCTGAGAGGAGCAGCGGGCGAGACAGGAGAGGTCTGCTTTGCCATGTGGGAATCTCCGTGGCCGATCGGGAATGGAACCAGCGCTGCAGAGGCTGTGGACAGCTTCACAGCCCTGCGCTCAACCCACTGCGCCACTGGAGAGGCCCTGGCTTGATAGTCTTGCTTGGCAGCAGTGCCCATGCCAGAGACAGGGGTAAGCAGGAATCCTATTGTATAACATAGTAGTAACATGTTACTACTGCCCACAAGTTGGATATGCATAGGGATGTCTCAGCCACTGCCTTAAGAACATATTCTACCCATCCCCATGACTGGTAAGTTGAGGATTCCCTGGAAATAAACTTTCTACCTGCCTTCCATACTACTGCATCTCAAAGTTTGTGTTTGTATGGAACAAGGATCCATATTGAATGTCACTACATGTTGACTTGGAAAGCACAGTCCCTGTTCTTACTAAGGCCTCACTAAGATTAAGGGAAGAGGATGAAAGACATAAGGTAAAAACTAAGACAATGTGAATGAAGTATGGACTTTCAGTTAATGCTAATGTGTGCTATAGAGTGATCAAATTGTAACAAATACATATATATATATATAATATATATAAAAGATTTATTTATTTATGCATACAAGAACTGAGGTACAGGCCAGAGGTGTGGGGGGTGAGAGGATTCACCAGAGACAGAGTGGGGAGCAGAACAGGCAGATTGAGTGAAATACACTGCTGAGGGGAGTAGTGGGCGAGACAGGAGAGGTCTGCTGTGCCATGTGGGTCACCTCCCTGGCTGGGGATAGAACTCATGCTGCAGTGGGTGCAGATTGCTTCATAGTGCTGTGTCTTAACCCCTTGCGCCACCAGGGAGGGCCCACAAATATATATTTTTTAAGATTTATTTTTATTTATGCATATAAGAACTGGGGCATAGGCCAGAGGTACGGGGGTGGGGTGAGAGGATTCACCAGAGGCAGAGTGGGAAGCAGAACAGGCAGATCTACTGAAACACATTGCTGAGGGGAGCAGTGGGTGAGGCAGGAGAAGTTTGCTGTGCCATGTGGGTCAGTTCCCTGGCCTGGGATCGAACTCAGGTACTCGGGTCATAGCAGTGATAGCTATGAGACTTAACCCCTAGGCCACCAGGGAGGGCCAAATTGTAACAAATATTTTACTAGTGTAAAATAAAAGGGGGATCTGGGTATGGGGTATCTGAGAATTCTCTGTACTATCTTTATAATTTTTCTGTAAATCTAAAAAATCATTCTAAAGAATGAAGTCACGAGAGAGAAGAGAATGAAAGTGTAAACATTCTACTATTTAGAAGTTTCCCGTTATCCCAGGCCACGTCTGTGTCTATGACAGAGAGAATTGGAGTGTGACTTGGATACTATTGGTAGAGTTCCCTACAGTGCATTGTTCCCTGGAATGAAGCCTGTTTCTGGGCCACCAAACCCCAAAGTATAAGAGCACCTTTTTTTCACTGGTACTGAAAGATCTGTCTAATCCTGAAGGATTTCTAAAGAGAGATCTTTGGATATGCAGTTTACTTGATTTTAGAATACTACTGAAGGAACTTTTTACCAATTAGACTCACAGAGCCCTTTAGATTAGGTGCAGCTAAAGTAGGTCCCTGTAAACCCATTGTAACTTTTAGCATATTGGATTCGGAGTCAGGAGAGTTGACTCCTGGATCACTCATTAGTTAAGTGATTTTTTAAAATTAATTTTTTTGAAGTAGCATTGCTGTATAACACTATATAAACTGCAGGTCTGCATCATTAAAAATCAGCATCTGTGTATATAACTACATTAAGTTCATTGCTAAAAGTTGCATGATCTTGAACAGTCTCAGTTCATTTCCTTGAGTCTTTATTGAGCCTCTGTGATGTATAGGCCATATTCATCCTTGTCTTCAAAGAGCACCCAGTTTTTGTGAATATAAATAAATTGTAAATAATTTAGATACAAACAAAATAAGTGTTGCATATAAATTGCATGCAGAGGAAAAGACCGTTTTGATGAGCAGCATGTATGAGGCTTGAGCTGCCTTTGTAGTTGGAGGATTATCAGAGAAGGAAGGACATTCCAAGTCAAAGGAGCAGTCTGAATAAAGGATACTTTGGGATGAAGGTGAATGCCATGTTCAGGGAGCTGGTAAACTTTCTGTAATGGGTCAGATAGTAATATTTTAAACTCTTTGCTCCCTATAGGTGAGTCTCTGTGGCAACTGTTTAGTTGCTCAGGCCATTATAATTGTGAAAGCAGCCATGGACAACATATAAGCATCACTGTGTAAAAAGGCGAGCAGTTGTATTTGACCCAAGCACCACGGCTTGCTCTTTGGAGCCTAGAGCAGAGAGAGAGAGAGAGAGAGTGAGAGTGTGTGTGTGTGTGTGTGTGCGCGTGTGTGTTTGGCAAATAATTTGTGAAGGAAGAGGGACCAATTGGAAGACTGTTGCTGTAGATGAAGCAAGAGATAATGAATTTAGTTTCCTTATCTATAAAATGGTAATAATGATCCCTGTGCTCACTATTTTACAGGGTTATTGTGAGAATCCAGTAAGAAAATGAATGCAAATATGCTTTGATACCATAGAGTGTCATAATGTGTAAAAGGTGAAATGTGGCTTATAATAATTCTGACTAATTGGTGGCTATTTTTCTGTTGTGGGATGAATTCTTTGAAGATACAGTGAGGTGTTCCCCAGTAGCGTTGAAATGAAGCTCTCACTATATAATGCTTGTGGATTCCAGGTTAGAAACTGGGCTAAACGATCCCTAAGTGCTGACCTCACAAGGATGCCCTACTTTTGTCTTGCCTTTTCTTTTTTTTTTTAAGATTGATTTATTTATGCATATAAGAGCTGGGGTACAGGCCAGAGATGCGGGGGAAGAGAGGATTCACCAGAGACAGAGCGGGGAGCAGAACAGGCAGATTGAGTGAAATACACTGCTGAGGGGAGTAGCGGGCGAGACAGGAGAGGTCTGCTGTGCCATGTGGGTTGCTCCCTGGCCGGCCAGGTATTGAACTCGAGCTGCAGAGGCTGTGGATTGCTTCATAGTGAAGTGCTTAGCCCCTTGCGCCACCAGGGAGGCCCTGTCTTTTCTTTGCCCTTTTTCAAGGAGGGTAAGAATCCCATAGACTAGGTCCTCCCTGGTGGCACAAGGGGTTAAATCTCAGCGCTATGAAGCTATCCACAGCCACTGCAGCACAAGTTTGATCCCTGGTGAGGATACTGACCCACATGGCACAGCAGACCTCTCCTGTTTTGTCCACTGCTCCCTCTCACCCCCACACCTCTGGCCTACACCCCAACTCTTATATGCATATATAAATAAATAAAACAAGCATTAAAAAAAAAAAAACAACTTACAGACTAGACTGAACCGGAAAGACAGTTTGCTTAGGAGTTTGTTGTAAAAGTTCCAGGGATCTCCTGGGAGTGTCTGTGTCACTGAAACTATCATTCTTTCTTCTTCAGGTGATGTTGGAAATTACTATTATGGACAAGGCCACCCAATGAAACCTCACCGAATCCGTATGACTCACAATTTGCTACTTAACTATGGTCTCTACAGAAAAATGGAAATCTATGTGAGTTACTGGGAACACTACCCCTCCCTAACCTCATCATCTCTGGTTCCTCATATGTCATCCATCATCTCTTTTTTCTTTTTCAGCTATTCATTCATCAAACATGTGTTGAGTGACTGTTGTGTAGCAAGCACTATAAATGATATTCTTTAAGTTCAGTTTAGTGCTGGAGACTGATAGGTAAACAGATAAATTGTAATACAGTGTGTTTGTATGGCAGTTTAAACTGAACAAGATGCAGAAGTAATGAGGAGTGAAAGAGGAAGGGAGATTTGGAATGCTTCCTAGAGATGATATCTGAGGAGGGTTTAAAAGATTGAATAGAATTTAGCCTGGATTTCAGGAGGGACTGACATTCTAGGGGGACCATATATAAAATACAAGGAGGTAAAAACAATGGGGTATGCTTGGGGAAAATATAAGTAGCTCTTTGTGCAGTTATTGTTGTAGCGTAAGTATACATGTGTGACTGAGGAGGGTAGAACTGTGACGTCAGCACAGATTGATGTGCTATACCAGGCAACACTGAGGGGCCAGGCTCAAAATATCCAGTGCCTAAAAAAGGATGATCAGGATTGTGTTTAAGTACATGCCAAGTATCTATTACCTCTTGATTCAACTGCTCTTGATTTTTGCCCCACCTACCAGTTTTCATAGAGAAACTAGATGTTCAAATTATTATGTAAAATCTCCCAGATTTTGTTGACTCAATTTATGGTTCTTCTTTTTTTTTTTTTTTTTTAAGTGTACATACAAACAAAACACATCAGTACATTTGTAGGCCGGATTTGGTCTAGGTTCTCAGTTTGAAACTCTTGTGTAAGCTGTGAGGAACAAGTGACGTGTTTTAAGCGAAAGAGAGACAGGAACAGGTGTGCATTTTAGAAGCAAGATCGATAATTAAGAGACTGTGGTAAGGGTTTAAGTTAGAAAATACAGGATTGGAGAGCCATGTTTTCTTATGGTTATAGCATAAGAGTCTATTGTTAAAGTCTTGCCCACAGCTTAAGTAACCTAGCAACAGCAGTATCCTTCCTTACCATTCCAGAGACTGTAAGTAGATGAGTCTCCTGTCCCAGATGGCCATGTCATGCCTCTAGAGGCAAAAGAGGCAGCTAGGGAAGGAAGGCAGGAAGGTAGACAGAGGAGCAGATGGACCTTGGGGCCAGAGAGCTTGTTCAGATGTAAAGGACGCCCAGCAATGGAAAAATAGATAGCAGAGGTGTCCAGGGCTTCTAAGGAGCATTTAGATAAAGAGATGATACTTGAATGTGGAGTAGTAAGCACCAAGACCTCCAGGAACTGCCTTTCGCACCTGTACACCATGCTGATCTGGCTGCAGCTTGCTTCCTTTCCTGCCACTTCCCCCTTAGCATCCTCCACGTCAGCCAGATGAGGTTCTACCTCTTTCTACTCCATCTTGACTGGGAATATTATTTATCCTACCCAGTCTTAACGCACTGATCTTCAAGAATCACCTCAAGTCTTCTTTCTTTCATTCAGTAGATTTTGGTTGAATACTTGTTATACTCCAGAGACTGGCTATATTAACTTCCCTGAGATACTGAGATAAATGAATCCTATGTTCAAATGAGAGGAAAAATAAATTAATATTTTTTGAAGAGTGCTAGGTGCCAGGCCAGGGCTATCTGTTATTTCATGTAAGCTTTATAACAACCCTAATTTATAGATGAGAAAACAAGTTCAGAGGATAGCTAACATGCCCAAAGTCACATAGCTATTAATAGATGGTTAAGACTAGATCTCCAGTTCCAGGATCTGTATCTGTTCATTTGTCTTCTTTTTCCTTTGTAAACATTTTAACAAGAAGTCTAGAGGTTAAGAGTCTCAGGATTTCTTGCTTGTAACATCAGGGACCCAGGTTTATTTTGCTTAGCCATCTTAGCTTATGTGATTTTGTCTTCATGTTTTTTTGCCTTCGTACAACAGAACCCAAAGAGGAGGGGAACAAGGTCAAAATGATCACTCTTTACTGTCTCTATCCCACACTCCCCTTTTTATTAAAGAGGAAAACCCTTTCCAGAAGCTTCCCAACAAATTTCTCTTTCTACCTGTTAGACCATTTGCCTTCCTCTCAGGCCATTCCCCAGTAGTTGGCTTAGACTAATCACGTTTGATCCCTGGGACTGGGTACATTAATACCCAACCAAATCAAGATCTTTTACCAAGAAAGAAGGGAGAGAGTGACTGTTTGGGAAGCAACCAACAGTGGCTGTCAAAGGTGATAATAATACCTTACTGGAAATGACTGTATCTATGTGATAATCTTACTGTAAACTTCTGAAGCAAAACCTCAGTACACTCGCCTCCACTTGTCTTTGATTCAGTTACCAGTGGTCAACCTAAGTCCAAAAATATCATCTGTGATAAGATATTTTGAGGGAGAGAGAGCCCACATTCACGTAATTTTAATTACAGTATACTGTTAGAATTATTCTATGATTAGTTTATCTCTTACTGTGCCTAATTTATAGATAAGACTTTATCATAGGTATGTACATATAGGAAAAACATTAAACATTTATCTCAGTATCTCTAGACAAATGTTAGTTTTACTAGGTTATATACTAGAGTAGAATTGCGGGATCAGGATGAATTCATATATATGGTTTGGTATTCTTGGGCATCCTCTGGGGGTCTTGGAACGTATCCTCCACAGATAAGGGGTGACAAATGTATAACCTCCTTTTGAAAACTCTAGACTGTTTTCTTTAATATGACCTTTTTCCTTCTCTCTCTCTACCTCTACACTGAGTGTAAATCTTTGACGTTGTTGCCCCAACAGTGTTTCTCTGCATTCTTCCCTTCTATCTTCTCCTTTCTCTGGGGTATGATTCCAACAACCTCTTTCCAAAGCTCAGATAGCCATTTACTGTCTATCCTGAAATTGATGGTTGCTGACAGTTCTGAAAAAAAGCTACTTAGACTTCTTACAGAAATAGCTGTATTACTGGTATTTCAATAACTAAAGGAGACACATTGAAGTCTTTTTCACACAATTTCACCCTCTTTGGTTCCTCCCCCAATTCTCTCTCCACACTTCTAATTAGTATCTCTCGGAATCTACATCCTCACTCTTCATTCAGGCACCTTTCTATATACATCATCAAGAAACATGCTCTCCTTCTTGCTTTGGTTGCTAATTTTGTATATTTCCAGACTTCTTATTCATTGCCTTCTGTTCTTTTGTTCTTTAAATACTTCTATAAAATATTGAGTATATATGAAAGAATTTTTATAAAGTATATGTAAGGTATAAAGAATCTCTTTTCAGTTATTACCACTACTTTAAGTAAACAAGCACTGCTATGAATGCTGAAGGCCCTGCATCTTTTCCCCGATATTCTTTTTTTTTTTTTATAGAGGCATGTTTTATTTATTTATTTGTTTGTTTGTTTGTTTTGTTTATACATGCACTGGGTACAGTCAGAAGCGCGAGAGGGTCAGAGAATTCACCAGAGCCAGAGCGGGGAGCAGAGCAGGCAGAAGGACCGAAGTACACTGCTGAGGGGAGCAGCGGGCGGCAGGAGAGGTCTGCGCGCCATGCGGGACCCTCCTCCAGTGGCTGGGGAGCAGCCGGGGATCGAACCAGCGCCGCGGGCAGCTTCGCAACCCAGTGCTCAACCGCTGCGCCACAGGGGAGGCCCTCCCCGATATTCTTTTTTCCCTAGAGTTAACCTCTGTCTTGAATTTGGGGTTTATTATTTCTTTTATAATTTTATGTCATTGTTGCATCAGCAATACCACAGTGATAAAAAAAGAAGCGGGAGTCGTGGAGCAAGCTGTAGGATACAGGATGTCACTCAGCAAGATCCTGGCCTTTTTATTGACAGAGAAGGATGTATCGAATTGAACACTGGATTTGGGGCTTTAAGGAGGGTGGGTCCAATGATATACACCCTCCTCCCACCCATGGCTCCAGTGTTATTAACAAGTTGTTCCACTGATCCGTCCCTGGGGCGCAAAGCACTTCGGTCAACACCCCCCCCCCCCCCACACTCCCATTCCCGGTCATACCTTGGGATGTATGCCTATTGCCCCAGGGAGAACTAGTGACCTGCTATTGTCTGACTTGAAAGGAGCCTTGTACGCTATACCCACATGTCATAAAGTTTAATTTTCTTTATAATTTTACCAGTATATGTTTATGTATTAAGTAATACATGTTTTAGTTTTGCATGTTTGAGTACAGAGCCTTACAATATTTATTATATAACTTGCCTTTTTGCTCAGCATGTTCCTGAGCATCATACATGTTGATGCACTGGCTGTATTTATTTTCATTGTATTTCATGGAAAGAATAGGCTACAATTTGTATCTAGTTTTTGGTTATTACAAACACTGCTGCTGTGAACATACTTGAAAGTGTTCTTGGTACGCAAATGCTAATTTCACTAGGGCATATACTAGAGTTGAATTGCTGGATCAGGATATATTCACATTGACCCTTATTAGAGAATGCCAAAATGATTTGCCAGCAATGTAGAAAATCAGTGTTCCAAGTCCTTGTCAACACTTACTTTTGTCATATTTAAAATTTTTTTGCTAATTTAGGTAGGGATGAAATGATATTTTGTTATTGTTTTTTTTTAAAGATTTGTTTATTTATGCATACAAGAACTGGGATATAGGCCAGAGGTGGGGTGGGGGGTGAGAGGATTCACCAGAGGCAGAGTGGGGAACAGAATTGGTGGATTGACTGAAATACACTGCTGAAGGGAGCAGCGGGTGAGACAGGAGAGGTCTGTTGCGCCATGTGGGTTATCTCCCCGGCCAGGGATCAAACTTGTGCTGCAGTGGCTGCAGATAGCTTCATAGGTTGCGTCTTAACCTCTTGCGCCACCAGGAAGACCCCTATTGTTTTAGTTTGTATTTCCCTGGTTCTTAGTGAGGTTTAATATCTTTTTGTATGTTTATTGGCCGTTGAGATTTCCCTATTAAAGTTCTTAGGTAAGACCTGTACCCGTTTTTCTATTTGGTTGCCTTGTTTTTTTGTTGTACTTTTAATTAGACCTCAGATACACAGAATAGGGTTAATTATCTTTGATTCTGAAGTGTCACTGATCCATACTTTGTCCTTCAGAGATTTAGATAGAAATGAATTTCAAATAGCGGAAAGAACATCATCACAGAAACTGTGGTAGGGAAGCTCTACAACTTTTGTTGAAGAAGACATGTTTGTCTGGAATATAATATTTATGAGAGAGGGCAGGGGGGATTTAGATTGGAAAAGGAACCTTGCAAATTTCCTTGATTGCCCTGTTAGAATTTAGAATCTTTTCTTTTTTAATTAGGAAGGCATTAAATGTTTTAGAGCAGGGCATTGACTTCAAGATTTTTGTGATACCAATATGGATGAGGATAAGGCTGTATAAAAATGGAACCAATTAGGAGGCCAAAAATAATCCAAATGGGTGTCGGGTTTTTTTTTAAAGATTTATTTCATTTATTTATACATACAAGAGCTGGGGTACAGGCCAAAGGTGCCGGGGCTTGGGGACGGAGGGTGGGGGATGTTGAAAAGATTTACCAGAGACAGAGTGGGGAGCAGAACAGATGGATTGACTGAAATATACTGCAGAGGGGAGCAGTGGGCGGGACAGGAGAGGTCTGCAGGGCCATATGGGCCAGCTCCCTTGCTTCATAGTGCTGAGACTTCACCCCTTGTGCCACCAGGGAGGCCCCAGAGAATCAGTTTTTTTAGGGCAATAAATGTTTATTCAACTCTTGCTCAATAGGGTAGGGCCAGATATCATGCTAATTCTTAGAATATAGACCTACTCCTGGCCTCCCAAGCAATCATGCAGTTTTTAAACAGTTTGAATATGATGATAAGGCAAGTACAGGTTCTCAAGGGAGCACTTCAGAGACTTACATAACTGAGATCTGGGAGTTAAGGACAACTTTTGGGGGAATTCACTTTTCACTTGTAACCTAAAGGTTGAGTAGAGGATGGCCTAGTGTTCTAGGCCATAGCATCTGCAAAGGTCTAAAGAGAATTCCCTTAGAGAATTGTAAGTAAAATTGTGTTTCGCAGATTGGTACAAAACAACCCCTCAAACAATTTGTTTAGCCCACAAAGTATTTTTAAGAACTTTATATTTATGAGTGGCCATTTTTTTTTGAAAAATAAAAGTTAACCCAAAGGCTGGTGCTTGGGCTCAAATGCATGGTAGTAATCAGCTAGAGCAGTGTAAATGCTGGCATTCTGTTAACTAGTTTTGTTTTGTTTAAGCACTAAATTAGCTAATGCCTGGCCGTTGTAAGTGCTTTGTATTTGGCATTCCCTGGGCTACCAGATAAAATATTTAGAGGGATGCTAGAAAGCTGAGCAGGAACCAGATTATTCTGGTTTTTCAAACCAGGTTAAAAAGTTCAAGATTGGGTAATTGAGTTTGAGTAATAAATTCTCTGAAGGGTTTTTAGAGAGGATGGCATGTTTTGGTTTGAATTTTAGACAGATTGTTCTGCCTGTAGGATTGAGAATTCACAACGGTTGCTGTTGAGCCCATGTTGAGTAACTGAGTACTGTTAGGAGATTATTGCCACAATTTAAAAATATGTGGTGGCCTGGGGATGAGAAGTGGAAAAGATTTGACAGATACATTAGTATTTTCAATAGAAATTGAATGTAGAAGCTGAGGAAAGAGAGAAATCAAGGGTGATACTTGATTTCTCTCTTGAGCAAAGGGTTGAAGGTGATAAGAATAGTAAACTTGGGAAAGAGGACATAAGAAAAATAAAGTGGTGAATGCAGTCAAGATTATGGAGGTATAATGAAAGGGACTGGCAGTATATTAGAATGGAAGGCAAGACAGAGCTTAGGTTTTCAACTGTGTGGGTTTGTATCATTAACAAATAACAACAGAGTTTTAATACCTCTAGCCTCTCAACAAGTCGTTAGGTCCAGTTTGAAATGTCGCTAGGATCTGTGGATGGGGCTGGCTGGGAAACTTTGGAATTATGAATCTGGAGCACAGAGCAGTGATCAAGATGGAGTGAGAGTTTGGGTAGTCATCTATCTAGAAAAGATAGTGAAAGTGCAGCGTTGGCCTCACTGCCAAGAAGGTAAAGGAATTGGGATAATAAAAACATAGTATTTGGAGCCAAGTCTTTTTTTCCCCTACTCTATGAGTTGTTTTTTTTTTTTTTTTTTTTGATTTATTTTATTTGTACATATAAGAACTGGGGTGTAGGCCAGTGGTGCAGGGATGTGAGAGGATTCACAAGAGACAGAGTGGGGAGCAGAACAGGCGGATAGACTGAAATACAATGCTGAGAGGAGCAGCAGGTGAGACAGGGGAGGTCTGCTGTGCCATGTGGGTCGGATAGTGCTATGACTTAACCCCTTGTGCCACCAAGGAGGCCCTGTTTTGTGTTGTGTTTTGTTTGATAAAATGGTATCTGTCTTCTTATATTCCTCATTGTATTGAATGTGGGTCAGATAAAACCTGGAACCAGACTTCAGTTCTTATTCTGTCTTACTGGCTCTGTAACCTTGTGAAAATTATTTAACCTCTCTTGGCAATAGCTTCCTTACTGCAAAATGAGAATAATAATAGAACTTTAGGGCATCTCTGGTGGTGCAAAGGGTTAAGCACCGCACTATAAAGCAATCCACAGCCTCTGCAGCATGAGTTTGATCCCCAGCTGGCCCGGGAGCAACCCACATGGTGCAGGAGACCTCTCTTGACTCTCCCGCTGCTCCCCTCAGCGGTGTATTTCAGTCCATCTGCCTGTTCTGTTCCCTACTCTGTTTCTCTGGTGAATCCTCTCACCCCCTTGCATCTCTGGCCTGTACCCCAGATCTTGTATGCATAAATAAATCTTTAAAAAAAATAATAGAACTTTAAAAAGCTGTTGTAAGGATCATGAGATCTGATACAAAATCTTGTAACAGTAATTGGCAGTGTAAGCATTCAGTGTTAGATATGTATTGAAAGTCTTTTATAAACTATAAAAGTGTTGGTGATTAGAAATGAAGATGGTCATCTCTGAAGAAGACCTACCTTTGAAGGATGAAAGGAAGAGATTTTTTTAAAAAGGGAAGAAGGAATCTGAATGACAGGCTAACCAGGAAATTATCAAGGATAATTAGTGGGGAGGATGTGATCAATATAATGATTTATAGAGGATTTTCCATCTATTTCAGTTATCATTAGTCACCCCTTTTTCTTGAACTCTTGAAACCATTTCGCCCATAGTTACATGTTGTTACAAAATTGTTGTAAAATTAAAAATGGGTAATAAATTGTGAAGCACTTCACAGTTTACATAGAGGTTAAACAATCCCGCCCAGTTTTCACAACTTATCTGAGGTAGATGCTGTTATCCTTATTCAATAAATGAGGAAGAAATTGAAGCTCAAAAGGTAGACTTGACTAGGGAGCAAAGTTTGAGTTGTATAATCTAGGTCTTCTGATGCCAAATCTCCTTTGATAATTTATTAGATTGTAAATTTAGATTAGATAAATTAGGTTATAAGTTTCTTGAGGCCTAAGCAGTGATTTATTTTTATCCTTTACAACACCTAGCTTGATGCTGGGCAGAAAATGAATGTTCAAACTAGACTGAGTGAAGATTGGCATTAAATCAAGAATAACATGCCCATTCTCCCCTCTGTCCTCCAGCGCCCTCACAAAGCCAACGCTGAGGAGATGACAAAGTACCACAGTGATGACTACATTAAATTCTTGCGTTCCATCCGCCCAGATAACATGTCTGAGTACAGCAAGCAGATGCAAAGATGTAAGTCCTTTCTGTTGCCTCGCTGCTCTCAGCCCCCAGTTGGAGTTCCCTTTCAGTCAGAGAGACCACCCTGCCTTCCCTTGTACCTCTCATTCAGCTGACATCTGATTTCTTTTGCTTCCCCAGGGTGCCAAAGTACTTCTTTTATCTTAAGTCTGGTATTTCACATGGTAATACAGAATAGAGATTGAGCTTTGTCCAGTTAGGTTCATAACACTGTGCCAAGAAGACTATAAATATTGTAATGGAAAAAGCACTGACTTGGGAAGGGGAAAAAGATACAGGTTCTGGTTCTGACTCTTGACTGAACACCTAACTTCTTAGGCAAGATTCTAGGTGATGTAATCTTTGAATTGAGGTGATAGGACCCCTGTGACCTGGGACATGAAAATCAGAGAGGGTCCCAAATCAGAAGCCATGCTCAGTTTGTAAGAATTTTGGAGGGTATTTTAGCTATGCAGGAGTGGTATGTTTCAAATTTGGGAAGAAGCCATCATACCTGACTTCTCCCTGATTTTAGAAACTATCTCTAAGCAACTAAGATCTCATATAATAAAACAATGTAACAGGATTGTCCAGAAGAAATTTTGACTACCTGATGATTGGCTTACTTTGAAAAAATCAGGACAGCTGAAACCCTTGTTATTACAACTGGCCACAAATTAGTCTGATTCTAAAGGCAGAGAGTTATTTATTCATTATAATTGTGTAGTAGTAAAGATTGTAAAACCACAGAGATCTTCTTTGAAACATTAAACTTAGTTGCCACCCTCAACTCTAGGAGCTGCTGGCCCACTAAGTGAGATATTTGCTCTCTGAATTGGCAGGGTCTTAGTCCCTTCTGAGGTGAGACAAATTCACTTCTTTGCTCTAGATGACTTTAGGGGTTTCCATAACCTTTCTAGCTCAATAATCAAGCTCTTCTTTCAGCAGAGGGGACTCTCAGAGGAACAGCTTGGTATTGAAGCAAGAAGCAAGAAAATGGACTTTGATGTCTTGTTTTGAATCCTTTAGCTCTGCCACTTAGCTATGTGTTCTTGAATAATTCTCCTAGCCTCTCTGAGTTTTGTTTTTTCCTTCTGTAAAAGGAAGGTAATAGTGTCTATTTCATGGTGGAGGTTGGAGGCATAGTGAGATAATGTATTCAAAGCACAAACTGTCAGTGAATAGTAGCTTTTCTGTTATAACTTATCATTTCTATTATTTTCAAATCTGTCAAGGCAGACAAAATATTAGGCCCTTGTGGTACACGGGTTTGGCGTTGGCTCTCAGTTTGCTCAGTTTTCCTGAAGCCAGCATTCTAAAGTTGTGCATTTATGAGGTCTGGGTTTTTCTCTCATTGGAGATGGGGTAGGAAGGATGAGGCTGTCCAAGGACTTCCAGGCAATTTATGACTTGATTCATGGTCTAGTGTGAATATAAGAACTGAGCTCTTTTTAAAAATTTACCAACACTTAGGAAGTAATACCTATAATAAGACCAAGTAAATCAGATTTCCTTGCTGTTGGCTAGAAATAAATAAATTATTGCTATGGTCAATTTGAGATTTTGAGATTTTTTTTTTTTTTTAAAGATTTATTTATTTATTTATACAAGCACTGGGTAGAGTCAGAAGCACGGGAGGGTGAGAGAATTCACCAGAGCCAGAGCAGGGAGCAGAGCAGGCAGAAGGACCGAACTACACTGCTGAGGGGAGCAGCGGGCGGCAAGAGAGGTCTGCGCGCCATGTGGGACCCTCCTCCAGTGGCCGGGGAGCAGCCGGGGATCGAACCGGCGCTGCAGAGGCTGCGGGCAGCTTCGCAACCCAGTGCTCAAACGCTGCGCCACCGGGGAGGCCCTTGAGAATTTTTTTTAAAGATTTTTAATTTATTTATGCATATAAAAACTGGGGGGTAGGCCAGAGGTGCAGGGGGTGAGAAGATTCACCAGAGACAGAGTGGAGAGCAGAACAGGCCGATTGACTGAAATATACTGCTGAAGGGACCAACAGGCGAGACAGGAGAGGTCTGCTGCGCAGTGTGGGTTAGCTCCCTGGCCAGGGGATCGAACTCATGCTGCAGTGGCAGCAGCTTGATAATGCTGAGACTTTAACCTCAGCGCCACCAAGGAGACCCGAGATTTTGAGACTTTTGATCAGAAGCTCTGAACTAATGTTTAATGAAAATGAGAATATGCATATATGCTGGGTTTTTTTGTTTTTTTTTTTTAAGATTCATTTATTTATACAAGAACCGGGTTACAGGCCAGATGCGTGGGAGGGTGAGAGGATTCACCAGACACAGAGCCGGGAACAGAACAGGCAGACCGACAAAACACACTGCTGAGGGGAGCAGCAGGCGAGACAGGAGAGGTCTGCCGCACCATGTGGGACCCTCGCCGGCCGGCCGGGACCAAACCAGTGCTGCAGAGGCTGTGGACAGCCTCATAGTGCGGCGCTCAACCGCCTGCGCCACCAGGGGAGGCCCCATATGTGCTGTTTTTTTGGCAAGATAATCCATCATGGTGAAAACATGATAGAAGGGATCTGTGGTGGCAAAATACAAAGATTTTCTCATCCATTTTACAGGTGTATAAACTGAGGCCTGAGGATATGAAATGACTTTTCAGGTCACACAGCAAGATAGTGGTAGAATGGAGACTAGAATTCCAGTCTCCTGATTTTGAAGTACTTTTAAATATGTTGCATGGGCCTCCCCAGTGGCGCAGCGCGTTGAGCGCCACGCTGTAAAGCTGTCCGCAGCCTCTGCAATGAGGGTTTGATCCCGGCCCGCCGGCAAGTATCCCACATGGTGTGGCAGACCTCTCCTGCTTCTCCTGCTGCTCCCTTCAGCAGTGTATTTCTGTCGTCTGCCTGTTCTGCTCCCTGCTCTGCCTCTGGTGAATCCTTTTACCCTCCCGTGCCTCTGGCCTGTACCCCAGCTCTTGTATAAAAATAAATAAATCTTTAAAAAAAAACGGGCCTCCCCGGTGGCGCAGCGGTTGAGCGCTGGGTTGCGAAGCTGCCCGCAGCCTCTGCGGCACTGGTTCAATCCCCAGCTGCTCCCCAGCCACCGGAGGAGGGTCCTACATGGCGCGCAGACCTCTCCTGCCGCCCGCTGCTCCCCTCAGCAGTGTACTTCGGTCCTTCTGCCTGCTCTGCTCCCCGCTCTGGCTCTGGTGAATTCTCTCACCCTCCGGCGCTTCTGACTATACCCAATGCTTGTATAAATAAATAAATAAATCTTTTAAAAAAAAGTTTATAAATAAATAAACAAATAAATAAATAAAGATGTTGCATATAAAATATTTCAGAGACACAAAAACAGTATGAAGATAATATAATGAACATCCATGTACCCATTATCAAGCCTAAGAAAGAAAACATTACCAGTATAAATGAAGCCTCCTGAACACCTCTTTGCTTGATCTCATACCCTCTCCTAGTTCTCCCAGTTACTGCCACTGCCAAGATATAAGTGTTCAGTCCCATACATCTCTTCCTGCAATGTGCTTTTTACTGCCTTCCCCGTCTTCCTCTCTTCCCCCATCTCTCACTCAGTGTTGTCCCCCTTCGTCTAAAGCTGGCTGAAGAATGAGAAGTGCTTATTGTGGAAAGAAGGCAAACCCATAGAAGCGTCCTCCCTGATCTCACAGATAAACCAAGCAAGGCTCTGCTCTCCCATGTCCCTCTATCTCTAGGCACACAGCTTGTTGAGCTGGGAATAAATGTGCTGACCATTTGAACCACATGTTGTTCAGGACCTTGAAGGAAAATATTTTTTTTCTTTTGTCTAAAATACGCTTTTCCTCCCAGGGAGGTTCCACAGTCCACATGGGAATATAAGCAAAACTGGAAATCCGGGCAGACCAAAGCCACTGAAGAAGGAAACAGCAAGAGGGGGAAGTCAATGTCAGTGGATAAATAGCCTGGCCCCAGTGACCAACGTTCATACTGACATTACGTGGAAGGGGGAAGAGAGTCCCTCGTTGCTCACCCCCTTATGCAGGCCCCATGTCCTTGGGCACTTATCTTGGTGGAGCACCAGGTCAGGGCACCCTCCTTTAAATGTGGGCAGTTCCAGAGTTAGTACTCCCGTGGTTATGGCAAACCTTGAGCTTCAGCTCTGTCGCCGAGGTTACCATAATGCAAACTGGACTCTCTGGCTTCCCATCCTCGGGCTTCTCTTCCTGGCTGTGTGTTGGGAACTCCTGTTGATAATAGTAGGTGTAGCGGGATGGCTGGGGCAAGAGAATAAGGTTCTGGCCCTCCCTGCCCCTGCCTCTAACTTCCTGTGTATCATTGATGTCTCAGCAGTGTCCTTTCTGTGAGAGGAGACTTGGCCATCAGGTTCCTCTCTAACTCTGTGAGTCTACAACTTCAGGTGTGCTTCCCTTCCTGTCTTTTTTGTTTCGTTGGCATTATTATTTGCATGTGTTTCCTTATTACGTGTTAGTATGTACTTTTACCCCTTTAGACCTGAAGTAACTTTACTCCAGTTGTCACTTGTGGGTGTAGTAGAAGGAGCACTAGATTGTGGGAATCAAGACACCTGGACTCTGGTTCTGGTTCTGCCACCACCTGGTAACACCATCCTGGGCAAGTCACTTAGCTTCTTCGTATCTCTTGCTCTGCACAGTGGTGTTGATAACTGTTTTGTCCCGCTTATGGAGTTGTCACAAGGATCAAACAAGACCGTGTGTATATATTTTCACGGCCTTATAGGACAGTCAGACCAGTACTTGATGACTGCCTCTGCTGTTTACTAGCAGTTTACCTTTCTGAGAATCAGATCAAATTCTACCTCAGAAGATGTGTGAAGAAAAAATAACATTAGGTGTTTAAAGCATTTAGCACAGTATCTGGTGCATTGTTAAGCATTCAGTGAATGGCATAGATCTCTGTTCTTCACTTTCTTGTTGGTCAGCTGAAGTGAGAGGTCCAGCAACAAACCTTACAAAATTTAGCTAGAATAAAAGGCTAAGTAAAATTTTCTGTCCATAAGGAACAAAGCAGCATTTTCCAAGTACTTATTTATTAATAATTCTTTCTCCATATAAAATTTCTATTAATCTTAACAGTCTAGTGAGGTAGATAACATTATCACTTATTATAGATCTTGAGCCAAAGCTCAGAGAAGTTAAATGACTTGACCCAATCACACAGCAAGTAAGTAGTAGACCCTGGACTAGAACCAAGCCTTCTGAATCCAAATTCTGTGCTTTTTCCATCAGTTCATAAATATGTGAGCAAAAATTAAAGGAAATTGTGAAAATTAATCTTTTGCTTATGTCTTTCAAGTCAACGTTGGTGAGGACTGTCCAGTATTTGATGGCCTGTTTGAGTTCTGTCAGTTATCTACTGGTGGCTCTGTGGGTAAGGAATATACTTCCCCTCCTCAAGGGTTGTGTGGGCTATGCTGGTGAGGTCTGCTTTTTAGGTTGCTATTCCACCTAGCTCCTGACCTGTGACCAAGTAAAACAGTTCTGTGACTGGATGTTTTAAAATGTCCTTTTGGTTCAGTCTCAGCCCAGGTTTAATCTCGGGCATGCTACTGACAGGTGTCCTTGACTGTCCTCTCCTACAAAGAGATCTTATATATAGGAATTCCCTGCAGACCTCATGGGCTTGTTGAGATGCTGTACATAAAAGCAATTTGTGAACTGTAGAGTGCTATAAAAATGGGAGGTGTCATCACCTATGTCTTATAAAAAGAGCATGCTAATTGCCTTTAAAGGTTAGAAATACTGCACATATTTCCCACTTTCATTAGTAATTTCTGGATTACTTCTAGGATTACTCTAAACTTTTTCTTTTTAAGATTTTATTTATGTATTTTTATTTTTTAAAGGTTCATTTATTTATTTGTTTATTTATATTTATACAATTGCTGGGGTACAGGCCAGAGGCATAGGAGGGTGAGAGGATTCACCAGAGATAGAGCGGGGAACAGAACAGGCAGACAGACCAAAAGCACTGCTGAGGGGAGCAGCGGGCGAGACAGGAGAGGTCCACTGAGCCATGTGGAAATCTCCCTGGCCAGCCGGGAATTGAACCCGCACGACAGAGGCTGCGGACAGCTCCACAGCACTGCGCTCAACCCTCTATGCCACCGGGGAGGCCCAGTATTTATTTATTTTTAAAGATTTTTATTTATTTTTGTATAGATCAACTGGGGTCTAAGCCAGAGGTGTGGGGGGAGAGGGATGAGAGGATTCACCAGAGACAGAGTGGGGAGCAGAACAGGCAGATCGACTGAAATACACTGCTGAGGGGAACAGCAGGTGAGACAGGAGAGGTCTGCGCCATGTGGGTAGCTCCTTGGCCTGGGATCCAACTTGTGCTGCAGTAGCTGCCAATAGCTTCATAGTGCTGTGACTTAACCCCTTGCGCCACCAGGGAGGCCCAGAAATATATTTACACATGCAATTCAGGGTGTTTACTCATTCTCTCTGGCTCTGAAGCCAAAGTTTCACAGAAAAGCAGTTACTTTATGGGTATTCTGATATTTTTCTTCTATTTCATTTAAATATAATTTTTGTATGTGTATATATATTAATCATGGCACACTAAACCAGTCTTAAAACCTAATAATAGGTTACCACCCATAGTTTAGAAAACAGTTTTTTTTTTAAGAGTAGCCAATATCCTGTGTATTCCCTGTTAGAATAGGGTGGAAGGCAGAGGACTGGCTTGTGAATTGTACGATACAGTTGTTGAATAAGCAGGTCCTGCCTTCTTAGTGGGTTCCCTAGACTTCTTGGGGGAAGGGGGAGTGTGGCTTGGTAACAGGTTTACGTTCTCTTTTCCCACGCCCAGCAAGTGCTGTGAAACTTAATAAGCAACAGACGGACATCGCCGTGAATTGGGCTGGGGGCCTGCACCATGCAAAGAAGTCCGAGGCATCTGGCTTCTGTTACGTCAATGATATCGTCTTGGCCATCCTGGAACTGCTAAAGTATGCCTACCTGGCCTTGTCTCTTGGAGGAGCACCTTAGGCCAGGTTCCCACTTCCCTCTCCCCTGGGCTTGCTTCCCTAGTTTGCTTTTCCTAGCAGTGTGCTGGCTAGGATGTGTTCGGTGAGTGTCTCTGGCCATCCTCTCCTTGACGGGGTCTTGGTTTGATCTGAGCCCACGGCAAGATCAGGGGCAGGTGCTGCTCAGATCCTGCCTCCAGAGTGTCCCTGTGTGGCTGGAGTTGACCCTGGCTGTAGAGTAGGAAGATCGGACTTGGTCGGCTTGGTCAGGCCTCTGGAGACACCCTGCCGCTCTTCCACCTTCCTTCAGCCAGTTTCCACGTCTCTGGTGCTTAGAGATACCTGAGGGAGGCAGCCAGCCCGGTAAGCTGGGACCTGGCGCCCTTGGCGCGTCCCATTCCCAAAGAACCCCCAGACCCCTGACCCCCTTCTGATCCTAGGTATCACCAGAGGGTGCTGTATATTGACATTGATATTCACCATGGTGATGGCGTGGAAGAGGCCTTCTATACCACAGACCGCGTTATGACTGTGTCCTTCCATAAATACGGAGAGTACTTCCCAGGAACTGGGGACCTACGGGTAAGAACTCCCTTCAGTGGCCAACCAGCTGCCCCTCTGCTGTCAGGTCTAACTTCCTATCTTACGTCACCAAAAACCACTTCCTGCCTCTTCTGCTATTCAGAACACCATAACCCAGCCTGCGACACCTGCCACAGTCTCCTTGGCTCCTTTATTCCCTTCCTCATTCCGGAGATGGAGAATGAGGGTCAGGAGGGATGGGAGTCTTGACTTACTGCACTTGTCTCCTGGCCAAGCTGGTTGCATTACACTATTCACATGTCTCGAGTTTTAGGTTAGAAATGTCAGAATCTCTAGGAGTTAGACCTTTATGGACCATCTCAAGGGTTCTTTTTTTTATATAGATTTATTTATTCATGTATACAAGAGCTGGGGCACAGGCCAGAGATGTGGGGGGTGAGAGGACCCACCACAGACAGTGGGGAGCAGAACAGGCAGACCGACTGAAACACGCTGCCAAGGGGAGCAGCGGGCGAGACAGGAGAGGTCTCCTTCACCATGTGGGTTGCTCCCTGGCCAGCCGGGGATCGAACTCATGCCAGGGATTGTGCTGCAGAGGCTGCAATTGCTTCATAGTGCGGTGTTTAACCCCTTGCGCCACCAGGGAGGCCCCATCTCAAGGGTTCTTAACACTTTTAGGTCACCTTTCTCTTTAACTTTTCTAATTGAAAAGTAGAGTCTGGCCTCTCCCTCCAGAAAAGTACATGAAACTTTGCATCTGATATCGAGTAGTTAATGGATATCTCTATGCATTTCTGGATAACAATCCTTAAAGTGATTGAACCGTTCTCTCTGCTTCTGTGAGCATGAATACAGCGAAACTAGCCACTTTATCTTGCCTCTAGCCATTGGGTGAAAAAGTGGTACTAATTCAGACCACAGCAAGTATGGAATAACTATGCATTTGCAAATTTTTTTTTTAAATGTTATTTCTTTTTTTTTTATAGAGGCATGTTTTTACTTATTTGTTTGTTTTGTTTATACATGCACTGGGTACAGTCAGAAGCGCGGGAGGGTGAGAGAATTCACCAGAGCCAGAGCGGGGAGCAGAACAGGCAGAAGGACTGAAGTACACTGCTGAGGGGAGCAGCGGGCGGCAGGAGAGGTCTGCGCGCCATGCAGGACCCTCCTCTGGTGGCCGGGGAGCAGCCGGGGATCGAACCGGTGGCGCAGAGGCCGCGGGCAGCTTCGCAACGCAGCGCTCAACCACTCCGCCACCAGGGAGGCCCTGCATTTGCAAATTTGAAGAGCTTTTCTTCCCTTTTTGCTTCCCATTCACACCTCTCTAGAGAGGAGAATGGGGAGTAGAAAAATGAGCAGTAAAAGCTCTGTGGAAAGAAAAGTTGTTGGGGATGGGTGTTACATGACCTAGCCACCAGTCTGCTTTAACCTACCCAAAGGTAGAGCTCTTGTGCTGTGGGGTGTACTGTTCAATTTCTGGTCCCATAAAAAATTTTCAGAGAACAGGCTCTGGAGAGGCCAGTGAAGGGAATAGTACAAACCAAGGTACTGCTGTTATGTCCCTGTCTCAGCTCATGGGCCCAGCTTGTCTCTTAGAACCACTCCCTCCTTCCTTAGTTTTCCAGTGCCCATATTTAAACTTCCTTCTAACTTCATCTTTCATTTTCACTTTAACGTTCCTCTTGATTAGGATATTGGGGCTGGCAAAGGCAAGTATTATGCTGTTAACTACCCGCTCCGAGATGGGATTGATGATGAGTCATATGAGGCCATTTTCAAGCCGGTGAGTGTCTTATCTACCACATGGGCTACAAATGGAATTAATCTAAGGGAGGGTGAGTTAAATAACAAAGTACCACCTGGGAATCTCTCCCTGCTGAAAGGCTGGTGGAGATGTTTCAGCTTTGGATTGTTTGTTGTGTAGCCAGTTAGAGAAACAAAATTCATCCAGATATTTGTTGATGCCTTGTGTGGGATACAGGAATATCTAAGACATGACCTATGACCTTTTAGACTTCAGAGACTGTGATGGGCATATACCCATAGTGTATGAATGAACAGAGGGGTGAGAGACACTGTGCCTTATGTAGGGGGGTGAGGGGAGTAAGTCAAAAATAATGCCACAGAGATGGTTACATTTGAGCTGGACTTTGAAAAATGAGTTATCCATGTGTAGGACCTGGAGGGAAAGGGTGGCATTCAGGGAACAGTACCAGCAGAGATGCCAATGGGTAGCTGTGTGTAGGCCAATGTGACATGCAGGAGGGATGTTGAAGGATGTGGTAGGGAAAGTATTTTGGGGTCAGTATTTCAAAGGGAGGTTTGAATGCCATGCTGAATCGTTAAATCTTCAACTGTAAGCAGCAAGGAGTCATTGATAGAAGAGTTTAAGCCTGATATGGCCAGGTCATTCTGCAGATGCCAAGTGTCTGCTATGTGCCTGTACAGATGCTGACAGGACAAGATACCCAAAAATGAAGTGCTTTCTCTCAACACAAGGATCAAATCTCTAATCTACCAAATGAGTAGAATGGAGAGATGCAGGTTTCATAAAGGAAGTGGCACTGGAGTTTGGGTGAAGGGAGGGAGATTTAGGGAGTTAAGGAAGGCCATTCTAGGTTGAACGTTATTAGAGCTTGAAGACTCTTGGACATCCTTTCCAATTAGCAAGTGAAGTGCAAAGTGGAGAAATGGTGTATCTACTGTGAGGACATGTTAGTAGGTATATATGAATAAATTGAATTTTTCCAATTTATTTTTTTAAGGTTTATTTTTTATTTATGCATACAAGAACTGGGTGTAGGCCAGAGGTAGGTGAGAGGGTGAGAAGATTCACCAGAGACAGAGTGGGGAGCAGAACAGGTGGATCTACTGAGAGACAGGAGAGGCGTCTTCTGAGAGACATGTGGGTCAGCTCCCTGGCTGGGGATTGAACTCATGCTGTAGTGGCTGGAGGTAGCTGAGATTTTAACCCCTGCGCTAGCAGGGGGGCCCTGAATGTTTAATTTTTATGGAAAAAGAACTAAAGTGGGAAAATGAGAACCCCAGACTGATCCTCCCTTTTCTCCACCACCCAGCATGAGGGAGATGGAAAAGTAGGACTGGGCGATAAAATGAAAGTATCTCACTGTCCTTTCCAGCCCTGAACCATGAATAGCTTTTCTTGAGGCTAGTGGTGACCAGGATATGTCCTTCTAGGTCATGTCCAAAGTAATGGAGATGTTCCAGCCTAGTGCGGTCGTCTTACAGTGTGGCTCTGACTCCCTCTCTGGGGATCGGTTAGGTTGCTTCAATCTGACCATTAAAGGTGAGACCAGGTAGCAAAGGGATGGGTGGGAAGAGTCCTGCTGGGTGCTCCTGTAACTTAGCACCCTTTCTTCCACCAAAGGGCATGCCAAGTGTGTGGAATTTGTGAAGAGCTTCAACTTGCCTATGCTAATGCTGGGAGGAGGTGGCTACACCATCCGTAATGTTGCCCGGTGCTGGACATACGAAACAGCCGTGGCCCTGGACACAGAGATCCCTAATGGTAACAGTCCAGGACCAGGTTGGGCTGCACAGAACTCACAACCCCTTTCCCATGACAGACGGTGGCCATCAGTTTTCTTGAGCTCTTTTTGACTCTGTCCCTTCTTCCTGCTGCTCTGAACAAAATTATCAGTGGTTATTTATAGCTTTGGAAGTTTTCATTCAAAAGGGTAACTGGGAGAGTGAGTGAAGGAAGTGTCCCAACCAATGAACACTGTCTAAATTTTTCTAAACCAGGGACTTGGGCCTCCTCACAGTGAGAAACACACACACACACACACACACACACACACACACACTCTGCAGACTAGTGTGAACATTGCAGAATAGCTTTAAAAAGATTGAAATCCTATAGGCACCCTAGTCTCACCCTATCTGGGAGTTTTTCTTCTGTTTGATGAAAGAACAGGTGCAGATAAACCTATAGTGTTTTTCTCTGGGACCCATGATGGCCTGGTCTCTTGACTCTTTTGTCCCCTGCCCCAATTAGAGCTTCCATACAACGACTACTTTGAATACTTTGGACCAGATTTCAAACTTCACATCAGTCCTTCCAATATGACTAACCAGAACACTAATGAGTACCTGGAGAAGATCAAGTGAGTACCACCCTTGGCACCCCTTGGTTGAGCTCTTCAGACCCTGGTGCATCCCTAACTAGAGCCCAGTCACTCTCTCTACCATTGACCATAGGCAGCGACTGTTTGAGAACCTGAGAATGCTGCCCCATGCTCCTGGGGTCCAAATGCAGGCGATTCCTGAGGACGCCATCCCAGAGGAGAGCGGAGATGAGGATGAAGAAGACCCTGACAAGCGCATCTCAAGTAAGACTCCGGATCGGGCTTGTACTACCCACTCTGACTTCCCCCAAATGTTCCTGGTTCCACCTTCCCAAACTACCCACCCATTGAGAAACCCAAGTTCTCGTGCCTGTAGAACAATTTAGAGTCTGAGCTCCAACCCCCACTGCCTCAGTGTCTCTTGGAGAACATGCAGGGAAGCACTGCGCACAGAACCTGAGAGGAAGAACCTTCTCTCACCCGTATTTCCATTGCTTCCCAGTCTGTTCCTCTGACAAACGAATTGCCTGTGAGGAAGAGTTCTCAGATTCTGATGAGGAGGGAGAGGGTGGCCGCAAGAACTCTTCCAACTTCAAAAAAGCCAAGAGAGTCAAAACAGAAGATGAGAAAGAAAAAGACCCAGAAGAGAAGAAAGGTGGGTTTGGGTTGTGCCAGGACATGGGTCACAAGCCTTGGGCCCTGGAGGAGCATGAGTCTATGCAGGGTGCAGGGAGGAGGTTGCTGATTCAGGCCCTGCCAGCTCCGAGGAACTTTCAGTGCCTCCCAAAAGTAGCTCCATTCGTCATCTCCACTGAGGCCTGCCTGGTACCAGAGCCCAGGACATGCCTGGGCTCCCCGTGGTCAGGAGCCTTGGCTCTCCCATACCACCCAAGCACTTTTCCCAACACTTCACCCCAGTTTCCCAGGGTGCTGCCTCCGCCCACCTGCCTCAGGCTCTAGCAGGCTGGAAAACCGGTCTAACCTGTTTGTTTTCAGCAGGGCTCACTGGGAGGACATGGGATGGGCTTTCTCTCTTTTGTACGTCCACTGGGCTCTAGTGTAAGGGAAGGGGTTTTCAGGGTAAGTGGAGATCCCATGGGTCTTCCACACGGCTGCCCTCTTGATTCCTGAGTTCCTGCATTCTTATCTTCTAGAAGTCACAGAAGAGGAGAAGACTGAGGAGAAGCAAGAAGCCAAAGGGTGAGGAAGCAGTCTGTCAGCTATCTCTCTGGCATTGAACTACCAGCCCCTTTGTCCCACCAGGCTGAGAGGGAAGGCACAGGGACAGCTGGTCCTGTTTACAAAGGCTTCTTTCAGGCATCAGTCTGTCTCCCCAGTTCTAGGCAGAGCTAGGAAGCCCCAACCTTCAGCAGTCACCTGGGCGTGGGTCCTGTGGAAGTCATTGTACCCACACTCTTGCTTCAGGGCTGCTAGGGCCGGTTATCTTATGCCAGTCTCTGCTCTCTCCACAGGGTCAAGGAGGAGGTCAAGTTGGCCTGAGCAGACCTCTCCAGTTCTGGCATCTTGCCAGCTCCCCCACCCCCCCACCTTTCTCCCCAAGCCCCTCAGATTCCTCAGATTTTATATTTTCTATCTCTCTGCATATTTATGTAAAAATATATTAAATATAAATATTCCCAGGGACTAGAACCAGAACCCTGAACCCAGGCACACATGCTGGGTCTCCTAGCAGCTGCCTTGCTTCCCCAATTCTTAATCTTAAACCTTAAAGGGTGCATCTGGGTGAAAGGGATACTCTTAAAGCAGCCATAGCACAAAATCCTGAAAGCCTAAGTGCCTGCTTTTAGAATCTATGAAGAGGCACCCTAACTGAACATTCTAGAAGGGATGGCTGGATCTTCAGGGGCCCCCTGTTCTTTGTAGGCTCCTTAAGGCAACAGCAGCCACTATTAGGTTAGTTTTATTCTGATACCTTTCTACTTGCCCCAAGTGAGCCAAGAAACTCAAGCTACCTGCCCTCTGTCCTCCCTCAGTTCTGCTCATCAGTTTCTTTTTTGAGATTTTTTGCATTTTTATGAGAACCTTTGTAATAAAATGGTACATTTCTATGCCCTCCTGAGCTTGTCTCCTGGCAGTATTCTCTGGGTTGACTTCAGCTTCACTTCCTTGACCTTCTGGGGTCTCTCAGGATCTGGGCAATCCCCTCAACAGCAAAAGAAGCCCACACACTTACCTGTCTTAGCCTCAGGTTTGAGGTTAACCAGTCTTCTCACCCTGCCCCCCACACCACTCATTAAAAAGCAGCACTAAAGGGACAACATTTATTCCTTTTCCAAATGTTACAGTAAAACCAGGTGGAAGAGAATGGTTTTAGCAGTTAGAAAAAAAAAAGTACAAATCTGGAGTTTGGCCATTAAAAGTTATTTACAACAATGGGAGGGGGGAAAAAGACAAGTTGTTTCACATTACAGACCTCCCCCCCACCCCAAAGCCTAATACTTGCTTACCAAGTCAAAAAAGAGACAACAGTTGATTCACAAGCTGGAGGTTTGAACTTGAGTAAGACATTTATAAAAACCTAGACAAGGGCAGTGTCCTCCCCAGCCCAGGTGCCACTAGGCACAGCACAAGAGACTAAAAACTCAACAGGGAAAGCTGGACGCTCAGGGTTTGGGAGTGTAGGCACCCCACATCTGGCTCAGGGATTTGGGGAGTAAACAAAACCTACTTGGAAAAGAACTGGAGAAGAAAACCAGCAATTCGCCTTCTGCAAGGGATGGGAACAGGGAAGGCAGTAGGGCCAGGGCAAGGAGCATTTCACATCACTAACCTAACTTGGGAAACTGCAAGGGACCACCTTCAACTGGCCTTAGGAGGAAGACCAGATGGATGATGGGAGAATCCACAAGAGGGAGAAGAGGAGAAGGGAATGTGGCTGGGAGGGGGCAACAGCCCCTTCCTTTCTGGGCACAGGAAGGCAGCCAGGGCACCAGGTCCAGGCAGTGACCTCACAAGGACAGCACAGTTTTTGCAGCTTTAGAGATCACCCACCTGCCCCCACCTAGCTACTCATTCTGCTCGCTGGCCGGTGTAGGGCCACTCTCAGGCCCCGAGGACGGCTCTGCGGCCTGAGGCCCTGCCTCCTCTTCTGTATCTCCTCCCTTGGAGGCAGCACTAGCCTCGGACCCCTTGGCCTGGGGCTCCTGGCTCTCAGGGGTAGCAACAGCCTTCCCTTCCTGGGCAATGCCTTCCTCGCTGCTGGCACCGATCTCCCCCTGCTCCTGCTCTTCCTCCGTGGGTGAGGAGGCAGAGGAATCGCCCCCACCCTCCTTCCGATTTCTCTTGAAGGACAGGCCACTCAATTTGAAAGGCTTCTTGAAAGAGAATTTCTTCTTCTTCTTAGGGGTCTCCTTGGGGGCGGCGTCCCCCTTGGCCTCAGCACCCTGGCTAGGCGGTGCTGGCTCGATGGCATCGCCAGTGGCCCCGGCTGCCTCCTCTGTTCCATTCACGGGGGCCGACTCCCCTTCACCCTTGGGGGATAAGTCTCCATTGCTTTTCACGTGGCCATTCTCCTGCAGGGCAGAGGAGACAGCAGTGAGGGCTGGTCTCTGTACCCCTCCCCCAGCCCGCTTCTGACCGCTTCCAGGCAAGGGGGTTCGGACTCTTTCTACCGGTTGCAGCCTCACCCCCACACCCGGGATCCCGTCAAACGTCTCCCTCCTGCCCCACCGGGCGCGCTGGGACCGAGCACACAGAGGCCGCAGCCGGCAGGAGGCGCTGGGGTCCCGTGGCCCCCCACCCACCTCCCCCGGGGCGCGCTCTCTAATCCGCGCTGAACCGCCCGGGGCCGCGGATCCCCGGCAGGCGGGCGAGCCCTGCCAGCCGATATTGGGCGGGAAGCCGCCCCGAGGCGCTGTTCTCTGCACCTGGACGGCCTATTTCCCCAGCCGCCCGCTTTGTGTGAACGGCCCCCCACCCGCCCCAGCCTTCCCGCATCTCCACGTCCCACTGAAAAAAGACCGTGGGCCACCGAGGTCGGGTCTGCGGGTGGAGCGCCCTCCCCTCCGGGCACCCGCCCCGCGGCCCCCGAGCGCCCCCTTGACGCGGCCCAGCAGCGCCTTTGTTCCCCGCGCGGCACTCGGGGCGGTCGGGGGGCAGCGCCGGGGGCCGGGGCCGCGAACAAAGAAGGCGGCGGGGCCCGGCCGGCGCCCCCTCCCCGCCCCTCCCCTCGCTTCGCCCGCGGGGGCTGCGGCGCCGAGAACAAAGGGACCGGGCGGGGGAGGGGGCGCCGCGTGTCCCGGGCCGGACAAAGCGCGCGGCCCCGGCCCAGGGCCCTAGAGGGGCGAGGCGCGAGAGGAGGGGCCGGGCCGGGCCGGGCCGAGCGCACCCACCTGTCCGTTGGCCTTAGTGGGGGAAGCGCCTGCTGCGTCCTCCGCGGTCACGTCGCCCCGGGGAGCCTTGGAGCTCTGGCTGCCCATGGTGGGGTCTGCGGGAGGGCCCCGGAGCCGCCCCGGGCTCGCGCCGCAGGGGAGAGTTCGGCCGGGTCGGCCTGGCTGGCGGAGGGGTGGGGCTCGCGCCTGGGGGGGAGGGGTGTCGGGGGGAACCGAGCTGCACCCCCACTCCGCGCCCGACCCGCTAGCTGCGCCCGCCGCCGCTCAGCTCCGCGCCAGAATGCCGCCCGCCGCCCGCCGCCGCCCCTATATATGCGCCCGGGGTGGGCGGGGCCGGACATTTAAATGAGCGCCCAATCGAGGGGCGGGGGCGGGGTCAGACGGTGCGCCCCTCCGGCTCGGCGGCGACGCTGGAGGCCTGGTCCCCCAACCCACCGACTACCCGGGTCAGAGGGGGCTGGTGTGGGAAGGAGGGGGTGGGTCCTTCAGCGAGCTGGGCGGGGGGGTGGCGGGGGGGGTTCGCAGGGAAAAGAGGAGAAAGCAGCCCTTCCCTTCTCTCTCCGCCCGCCGCCCGGAGTCGGCGCCCCGAGCCTGGAGTGGCCCCCATCGCATTCGTCCTGCGCGAGGAGTCCCCGTGAACTCTTGGAAGGGCTCACAGGATCACACTCGTCAGACGGAGGATCCTGAGAACGTGGTCGTAGAAGTCACAGGACCCGGTGGGGAGGCTGGGGTGCGCCCCCCAGGGCCTGGAGACCCGTCGGAGTCCCACCCACAGCCCTGCCCGGCCGCCCGCGCCCGCCGAGGGTCTGGCCTGTCACACTCCTGGCCAGACTGGTGTGCTTCGTCCCTCAGCCTCCGCGGCCCGTCGGTGGAGCCCCCAGGGAAAAACTCACCCTCTGCCTGGACCCATTATAATGTCGCATCTGGGGTGGCCCTGTGACCTTGAGGGATGTCTCCATCCCCACTTGCATGCTGAGGAGTCTGAGACTCGGAGACAATCTGTTAGGCGCTCCCCGCCCCCATCTACTCTTGTGTCTGGGTTCCCTAAGCGGGCAGAGGAACCCCAAGAGGGGATTCAACAAACCTCAAAACACCCCAGTTCCTGAAGAGTAGGAGTGGGAACATCAGCAAGGCTGCCTGCGCCCCTGGGTGGCCCCTGAGGACGTTGCTCTGCCTGGGGGGGTGGGCAGCGAGGAATGGGAGCCGCGGGTTGGTGACTCCAGCTCTGGTCCCCTGCCACTTCCTGTTCCCCTTGCCTGGAGAGGCGGGTGGGAACTCCAGAGCCCTGGCTGGCCTGGTGTGTGTCTGCCGGCTGCCCTCAGTCCCCAGGAGGAAGGGGCTGAGGGCTGGCGGAAGCAAAGTATGGCAAAAGCAAGGCTGTGTCCTAGACGCCCCGCAAGTCCCTCTCCCTCCCCTCCCCCTTCCCCTTCCCTCCTCTCCCGCTGGGAAGGCCTCCCGGGAGGCCAGAGTCTGTGAGGTGTGGTGACAACGCAGAGCCTGAGAAATCAGGAACTCCCCATAGATCTGACCACAGAGGGGTGAAAAGGGCTGAGGTGGTTTCTACATTCAGCATCTACTGCTGTCTCCTCCGTCCCCACTCCCACCCCAAGTACAGAAAACTCTCAGCTTCATTATCAACCCCCCTTTCGTGGTCTGTGACACTGAGGTTCAGAAAGGGAAAGCGTCCGGCCCCAGGGCTCACAGCAGATCCCAGGAACTGAGGTCTGAAAGACATCAGACAGAACTGCTAAAATGGGCTGGGGGTGGTGAGAAACCCCTAGAAGACTTCTCCCTTGAGGTTTGGGGCTGCCTGTTCAGAGTAAGAGGCAAGAGGAGACAGGGAGGGCTCCGAGGGGCACCACGCCCCACTGCAGCTCACTGACCCAACAGTGACTTCTCGGCCCTCTGCCATCATGGCATGGACATGGTGACCTGCATCTCTGTCTTGGCCACAATAGCGAACCCACAGTGCTGCCAGGTGCTGCCTGGCACTGGCCGGGGCTCAGATGAATATGTGTGTGAGTCCTGGAGGGGTGGGGTCAGAGGCTGAAAGTTGATGCCAAAGCTCCTGATTTCCAGGAGCTGCCCTGTGGGAAAGAGAGGCAAATCGCCCCAGAGGAGCCCAGGAGGAGGGTGGATCCTCAAGATGAAAGGACCCTGAGTCCCCAGAGCCCCAGAGGGAGTCTACAGGTCCACGGGGGAGCTGCTCTACCCCCCACCAGACATCCCAGAGCCTGGGAGGGGACGTTTGGAAGCCCAATCCCTCAGCAAACCTAGGTCCCGAGCAGAAGAGCAGAATCTGGCTTCAGGAGGATGAGAAAGGCTTAGGATACTGTGGGGGGTGGGGGGACGTGTCAAGGGTGGAAGGGGGGGCACAGCAGCCCCCACAGCCTCTTCCATCCACACTGCTCTCTTTCCTTCCCAGCTGCTGCCAGTCCAGACAATACGCCCATTGTTCTGCGTCTCCAGGGGCCTGTGTGCAACTGTGTGTGTCTGTTTCTCTCTGTGTGTGACTGTGTATTGCTCTGAATCTGTCTGTGTGTGAGACTTTGTGATTCTGTGTGTGTGTGCATGTGTGACCAGGTGTGTACATTCCTGGTAGTGTGAGTCTCCATCTATGGCTGTGTGCATTTAGGGTGAAAGAGAGAGGCTTGGTGACTCCTGGTGACTCTGAGACTTTCTGGGTGTGTGTCTGTCTGAGATGGTGTGTTGCTGACTGTCTGTGATTGAGTGTGGCTGTGCGTGTGGCTGTGTGAGAGAATATGAGTGTGTGGAAAAAACAGTGGCTACTTTGTGTTTGTGTGAACATCCCACTGGGTGGCTATGCATGCTTCAGTGGGCTGCTGAGGATGTGGTGGCCAGAACTTTTGAGGTGTGAGCTTTTGCCAGGACAGTGTGGCAGGGAAAGGATGGGTTGAGTCTGGGATAGATGGGGGGAGGGAAACTGCAGACACACCCCCTCCTGGCATGGGCCTGGCCTGGGATGGTCCAAGCTCCCATGGACAGAAGGGAATGAATTTCCTTGTCAGGAGCCTGGGACCTCAGGGAAGATACAGCTGGGCTGAAGGTGGAGGAGGGGCACCCGAGGACATTGCTCCACAAAGGAGGTAGGGGGGTGGGTTTTGAGGGGCACCCTGGGTGGGGATCAGATTAGACCCCAGGTGCGGTGTGAGCAGGCAGTATCTGACCAGAGATGGAGGGAGGCTTCCTAGCTGAGGGATTAGCAAAGGCCTTGAGGAGGAAGAGATAGCATCAGAGAATGGCTAAGTCCCAATGCAGGCCTCTAGAATATGAATTGGTACAGCCCAGTTCCCAGCCCCAGGGTCCCCATTTTGGGGAGCATCAACTGTACCCAGAGACCTTCATTCTAGGTCGGCCTCTACCTGCCCCGCCAACCATGAGCCAGCCCTCTCGGTTTCGGGTCTCAGGGTGCTCTTCTGTCCAGTTGCAGCCTGGGCTCTGTGATTCACACTCCTGCTCACAGAAGGTGAGCAGTGAGTCAGGCTGGGCCCCTGCCCTCGGGGGTTTCCCATCCAGAGGAAGAGATAGGTGGTGCCTGAGGAGAAGAAACAGCCAGACCAGGGTCAGATGAGAGCACTGTGAGCTTCCTAGAGGAGGCCAGCCAGGGCCTGGAGGAAGAGCTAAGAGCAGGACAAAATGGGAAGAGCAAATGGCTTGTGCGAGGGTGGGATGAGGGAGAGATCTGGTGTGGAGCAAGGTTTAGGAGTCCTGATCAGTGACTGGCTGGGCACAGGGGTGGGGTGCTGAGAAGGGGGTGATGGTATTGTTGGTCGTATTTCTACTTGGGGTGACAGCTGGCAAAGTGGATCCATTGACTGAGACCAGGCATGTGTGGAAAGAACTTGGGAGGTGCCCAGGAAACATGCAGGGGACCATACAGGAGGCTGTGCTTTAGCACAAAAACATGCAATCAAGTTTCCAGGACCCAAAGTCTGCTTAGAGGGACAGCAGACAGCAGGTTTTAAGTCAGAACTGGCCTCAGAAACCTGGACCTCTGGTCGCTGCTAGTAAGAAGGCGCCTGGAGCCAGGCCGTTCATGAGGTCACCTGGGAAGTCCCGGGCAGTGGGGAGAGGGCACCAGAAAGGAGCCCGGGAGGGAGGCAGCAGAGAGGGGGAGGAAAATCCCCAGAGGAGAGAATTATGGGGATACTTGACCACAGGGGAGAGTTTCCAAATGGCAGGCATGGCCACTAGTAATAATCATAAATGCTGGCCTCCATGACATGCCTAGTGTATGCCAACCCTGGGCCAACTGCTTTCCCTACGTTATCTCATGTCCAGAGGTATGTGTCCCATCTCTGCTCCCGTTTACAGAGGAGGAGGGTGCAGTGGAGGGTCTGTGCCAATGGAAGAGAAGTCAGCACTAGCAGGAAGCGGGTTTTAGGTGCTCTGAGGAACATGGCAGGACCTGGTACAGCCGGAGGAGCCACAGAGGGTTCTGATACTTTGAGTCAGGAGAAGTTAGGGATGACAGGAAGTTAGGGATGACTCCTCAGAACCCTGGGTATGCTGGGGCCTGGCTTGGTTGCCAACCTGAGCCTGGATACTAGGATACCTTAGAGGCCTGGGCTGGAACCTACCATCCAGCTACCAAATCACAAGGACAGATTCTGAAAGTTCCCCTTCAGAATTTAAGGCGACCCAGAACTTTTACTTCCCCTTTCCCCTCCCTCTTCCCCTGGGCTCTGTTTGTGACTGTTCATGTGCATACGTGCGCGCACACGTGACTGTTCATGTGCATATGTGCGCGCACGCGTGTCTGTGTGTGGTGGGAGTAGCTGCATAAACCAGTTTACGGGTCCAGACACTATTGAATAGAGCATCTCTCTGGGACTCGATTGCCCCGAAAGCAAAGAGGTGTACAATCCAGCCCTCTGGCCTAGCTCCCCCAGGCTTCATCAGGTCACCAGAAATTCAACCCAGTTATTCTAGGCCACCCTCGGCCTCTCCCTCCCCCTTCCTCCTCATCTTCCCAACTTCCAGTTTCTTTTCAGATCCTGGGGGAGATGTGGCCAACCCAGTGGAATGTAGATCACTTACAACTTTCCAATCCAAATCCCCCACTCAGGGGAAGTCCCTTTAAAAGGGAAACTGAAACTTTCCCCTAGTCCAGTTCCCAATCTTACTCCTTCCTCTATACACTGCTCAGACCTCACCCCATCATCTCTCCCATTCAGCCTCACACCCCAAATGATCTGGACATGAACCACTGCTACCTTCCAGCTTTGCGACCCCGGACAGGTCCCTGCCCTGCACTCTGTCTC